GACTTTTAACCGACTGCGCCACCCAGGCGCCCCAAGCATCCAACTCTTAATCTCAGCTCAGGTCTTGATCTCGGGGTCGTGAGTTCAAGCCCCACATTGGGCACCACACTGGGTGTGGAGCCTATTAAAAAATAATAAATGAGGGGAGCCTGGGTGACTCAGTTGGCTAGGCATCCAACTCTTCATTTTGGCTCAGGTCATTATCTCACGGTTTGTGAGTGCAAGCCCTACATTGGGCTCTGCACTGATGGTGTGGAGCCTGCTTGGGATTCTATGTCTCCCCCCTCTCTCTCTCTGCCCCTCTCCCATTTGCTCTCTCTCTCAAAATAAATAAACGTTAAACAAAAGTAAGTGAAAAAAATAAAGAGTATGACTTGTTCTCTCCACCATGGGAAGAACATATCTCATTTCTGCTTGAAGATAGAGCCAACAGCAACAACTTTGGATCTGTACGTACGTTTGAACAAGCGCAGCAGAAAGGTTACAAACTAAAAGCATGGAATAAATTATTTTGGCAGAGATTTAAGGGTAGGAGACAACAGTTTGTATCTTTACTGGTAAAGGCATGTTAGTACTATGGAATGAACGACGTTAACAGGCTTACAATCCTGTGATCCACTAGAGTGAATTGGTGGCTAAATACATACATACCTGATGGCTAGAGAAATTAGCTCCCTGGTTACAGTAGTGTTGTTGAGTTTTCCTTTCCGATATATTCAAATGCTCAAGAATTCTGTGATCTTAATATAAATCAGCTAAAACTTCTTGAGGCCATTCCCATAATGTGTGGTTGGACTTTATTTTTGTAAGGAAACAGCTGCCTTTCTTTTTAGTTATAGAGAAAGAATATTTATCTAGTTCATCAGAGTTCTCTTGAATTAAGTATCTGTTCAAAAGAAAGGAGGCTAGCAACACCTCACCTTGAAAATGAAATTAAGGAAACAGTTATATTCACAATAACATTAGTAAAAATCAGTTAGCAAAATCAGTTGAAGACCTATGTATGAAAACTATAACATGTTGCTGCAAGAAAAGAAGTTCTAAATAAATAGATAGATATATCATTGGAAGAATCAATATGTTACGATGGCAGTTCTTTCCAGATTGGTCTGTAAATTTAAGGCAGCCTTTATCAAAATCCCAGTTGGCTTTTTTTTGGTCGATATTGACAAGCTGGTCCTAAAATAGCCCAAAGGTCTAGTATATAGTTAAAAGAATCTTGAAAAGACAATAAATTTGTAGACTCTCAGATTTCAGAATGCATTATAAAGCTACAGTAACCAAGACAGTATGCTATCAGAAGAGTAAATATAGTCAGTGCAGCCAAATAGGAACTCCCCAAATAAACTCACACATATATGGTCAATTCATTTTTTAACAAAGGCGGTAAAGTAATTCAGTGGAAAATATAGTCTTTTCAACAGATTGTGCTGGAACAATTGGATATTTATATGCAAAAAGATAAACCTAAAATCACCAATGAAAAGGAGTGATGTGCTGATACATGCTAAAAAATGTATGAACCTTGAAAATGTTGTGTTCAGTGAAAGAAGCCAGTCACTGAAGACTGTATGTATTATGTGATTCCATTTATATGGAATGTCCAAAATAAGCAGATCTCTAGAAACAAAGTGGATTAGTGGCTCCATAGGTCTGGACATATGTAAGGAATGGAAGATAACTGCTAACAGGCATGGAGTTTCTTTTTAGGGTAATGAAAAGTTACGTTATTAGATCTTAGTAACTTAGACTATGGTAATGATTGCACAATTGTGAATAATAAGAAAAATCATTGGATTGGCTAAGTTTATGGCATATTAATTACATGTCAATGAAGATGTTTTAAGAATGCAGTGTCACAAAAATAAAATAAAAAGAAGAATGCAGTATTACTGCATATACAATAGAAAGGCTAAAATCAAAAAGACTGATAATACTTCTTGATTTTGGCTTGGGTCATGATCTTGTGTTTCATGGGTTCAAGCCCCACGAACTGACAGTGCAGAGCCTGCTTGGGATTCTCTGTCTGCCCGTCCCCTGCTCGTGCTCACACTCTGTCTCAAAATAAACAAATTTTTAAAAGCATGTAAAAAATAAAATACAGATTCTTCTATATGATCCAACAATTTCACTTATATACCTAAAAGAATTTAAAGCAGCGACTCAAACAGGTACTTGTACACCGATGTTCATAGCAGTGTTAGTCACAAAAGCAAAAGGTGGAAACAATCCACACGTCCATCAAAAGATGAATGTGTAAAAAACAACTGTGGAATATGCAGTAATATTATACAGCCATGAAAAGGAATGGAATTCTGACACATGCAACAACATGGAAGAACTTGAAAATATAATGCTAAATGAAATAAGCTGTACACAAAAAGACAAATATTGTACAATTCCATTTATATTAGGTACCTCGATTGGGTATTCACAGAGACAGAAAGTAAAATAGAGGTTATCAGGGACTGGGGAATTAATATTTAATGGGTACGGAGTCTCCGTTTGGGTGATGGCAACATTCTGGAAATGGATAGTGGTGACGGTTGCACAGCATTATGAACGTCCATTAATGCCAATGAACTGTACGCTTAAAAGTGGTTAAAATGGTAAATTTTATGTTGTGTATATATTACCACAGTAAAAAGGAGTATAGATTTTTCTGGTTCAGGTAAGTCTTCAGAACTTTAGTATGAACATTTCAGATATGTCTTTGGAAACAGATCCTGATAGTACCCATAGTGTACCTATCACCCGTGTAGGGAGAGGCTTCCTCAGAAATATGACGTCACCTGCATCACAGTACTAAGTTTGTCCTTCCATTCTCACTTCTAGGCTATCCATCCAGGATATGGTTTTCTTTCAGAAAACATGGAATTTGCCGAACTCTGCAAACAAGAAGGAATTATTTTTATAGGTCCTCCTTCATCTGCAATTAGAGACATGGGTATAAAGAGGTATGAGTTTATATCTTTTAAATATAACCATAGAAAGGTCAATTGAAATGGTGTACCTATAATAGATATGGTAATCCATGGTTGTTGTTATAGGCTTATGTGGTTTATCTGCCACTCCAGTGAGTTACGGAAATGTTCAATTCATTAGCGTTTCTAATCAATATCTGGATTAGTTTGGGGAATTTTTTTTAAAAAATATATTGTCAAATTGGTTTCCATACAACACCCAGTGCTCATCCCAACAAGTGCCCTCCTCCATGCCCATCACCCACTTTCCCCTCTCCCCCAAGTTTGGGGAATTAAAAACAAGGTGGGATGAACTATCACATGAAAAACTGGATTCCTAGTTATCACAAGAAAACTAATATTTTAATATTTGTGTTAATATTTGTTGTCTCAGACTGCAGTCTGTTTGTTTGTTTTTTACCTCTGGGATATTTTATTTAAAAAGTTCCTTTGTATTTTGTAGATTGGGCTGTTTTGTTTTTCTCTTGTATGAAATAATTCGCAGAATTGAGGCACCTCCTCTTTTTTATTCAAAAGCACATCCAAATCCATAATGGCTGCTGCGGGAGTGCCTGTTGTGGAGGGATATCATGGAGAAGACCAGTCGGATCGGTGTCTGAGGGAGCATGCGGGGAGAATAGGTTATCCTGTCATGATTAAAGCCGTCCGTGGTGGAGGAGGAAAAGTAAGATTGTGCGTGCTCATGTTTTTCATTTCAGGATAGTCTTCTCTGTTTTATTTAGTTTGCGGTCTTAACTATCTTGCCCTCTTAGGGAATGAGGATCGTTAGATCTGAAGAAGAATTTCAAGAGCAGTTAGAATCAGCACGGAGAGAAGCTAAGAAGTCTTTCAATGATGATGCTATGCTGATTGAGAAGTTTGTGGACATGCCAAGGTGGGTTTGGCTTTTTTTCTGAGTCAGATTTTTAAAATTAAACTTTAAAAGAAATGTAGGCAAACTATATGAAATGTAAAGTTCTAGTAGTACATAAGTACATTAAATTCCCCAATCCCACCCCCTGATGTAACCACTTAGTGTAGTATGGTATGCATCCCTCTGGGTATTTTCTAAGTGAATAGAAATACACATACGTATACTCACAGAGTACAAACTACATACAGAAGTGCAGTGAGTAGAACCTTACATAGTATTATATGCTAATATTACATCATAGCCATCTTTCTGTCAGTAAATATAGGTCTACCTTATTCTTTTTATTGGGCTTAATAGTTCCATAATATTGATGTACCATTAATTTATTCAGTCAATTTCTTATTGATGGAACTTAGGGTTTTTTTCAAAATAAAAAAAAGGGGGGGCACCTGGGTGACTCACTCGGTTAAGTGTCCAACTTCGGCTCAGGTCATGATCTCATGGTTTGTGAGTTCGAGTCCCGCGTAGGGTTCTGTGCTGACAGCTCAGAGCCTGGAGCCTGCTTTGGATTCTGTGTCTCCCTCTCTCTGCTTCTCTCTCTGTCTCTGTCTCTCTCTCAAAAAAAAACATTAAATTTTTTTTTAAAAATTTTTATAAAAAATTAAGTTTTATCTTACAGAACTCTATAAGCATCCATTGAGATTTTCAGAAATAGCTACCTAAATTGAATTGTAAGTGATATGTTAACAAGTAATAATACTAACACCTCACCCTTATATTTCACTTACCATAATCTTACCGTCCTAATTCTGATCTAATTCCTGCAACAATCCTGTGGGTAGGCCTATTCCTATTTTGCAGGTGAAGACACTGAGGAACAGAGTGGTCATATGACTTGCTTGAGGTCTCCCAGTTGGGAAGTGGTGAAGCTGGGATTTGAATTCAGAATTCACACTCTAAGACACTGTACTAAACTGCTTCTCTAGGTACTGCTATAACAAATGCCACGTGAATTTCTAATTTTTTTATTTTCTGGAATTTTACTTTCACATGTATTGCTTAAAATAAGATACTGACTATAAAAGCTTCTCGTTTCATAGATTTTGTGGTAATTATATATATGTATATAAAACCTGTTGGTTAAGTGACTCTATAAAGAATAATTCACTTGGGAACTATGTGAAAGGAGAGGGATTTATCTTGAAGGTAATATACCCTGAAGCTTCAGGCCCTTCCCTTGTCTGAGCCTCTTCTAAGATCTTCTACCTAACTTTGTATTCTTCTTAAAGATGGCCCCCAAATTGTTTTTGTTTCAAGTGCTACAAAACTTCGAATTGACCCTGAGCATGGCATGCTAAGCTAAATTCATTTAGAGTTTGATAGTAAAAACAAAAGTGAATTTTAAAATAGGCCAATTGATTAGGAGAGTGCGTCATATGCCACCTGTTAGTGGAAAGGGAGGCAAAACTTTCCACTTAATTTATTAAGGAAAATTCCAGGGTCAACTGAGGGCTCCCTTTCACAATACATTTCAAAGGAGAATAGGCTGACTATCCAAATTGACATGCTCTTGAGTTAGAATTGCCGTGGAGCCATCAGCTAGCTATTCCAGTGACCATAAGCAATAACATTTTTCCAAGATGTAAATTCTTTGCATGTGAAATGTTAGCTGTATATTACCTCACATTGTAATTTGTTTCCCCAATAGCTTGGAAGCTCTTGGGAATCAATGACGTGGTAGTATGTTCCTTTTTGTTTTCCCCTATATATCACCTGGCATGCTACTTTCTTCATGACAGGCATCAATAATAATATTTTTTTATAATATAGAAGTAATATAAATATTACTATATTTATACTTATTATATTATTATATATATTATTATAAACAAATATAAATTTCCACATTACAAACATGGAAAATACAGATGATAGAAAACAAAGTCACTCATAATCTCATTCTCCTAATATGAGTAATAGTATTTCTGTATATATTTATTCTGAATTTTCTAGTAATATTTTAATGTCATGGTAATTATACTATTTTACTATATAACAATTAATTATAGTAATTGATTAATTAATTCCTAAATAATTAGCTGTTGAGTTAATGGAGTGCCGGAAGATTGTCAAGGTGGTGCTTATAACTGAGGAAAGTAGATATCAAGATGTTTTATAAATCTGCTCAGAACTGTTGAGCTTATCTGAAAGGCTGGGGTAGAAAACAATCTTCAAAGTGTACTATTTTGGAAGATAAAAAAGAAATCAGGTTCCTTTCTCATTTTATATTCAATATATATTCTAGATGGGTTAAAAATGTAGCTAGGAAAATAAAAACTATAGAACTCTTAGAAAATACCAAGGCGTTCTTGGTTGACTCCAGCTGTCTCTGTCTATGTAGCCAGATCCCAGCAGTGGCTGAATTGGAACAGCTGAGATTTGGTGCGCCTCCTGGTTCTTACACACTGTGCTGCAGGATCTCAACGTTAGATAAAGCAGCACAGCAAAGGATTAGTTAGAAAAAGGAAAATAACAAAAGCGATCCGAAGACGACAGAAATCATAACAGAACACAGATCCTCAATTAGTTTCTCTTATAAGCAGCGAAAGGAATAAGTGTTTGCAACTTCTGAGAACTCGGAAAAAAGCTGCGTTGTGCTGCTGGTGTGTGTTCCTTTCAAAACCTGGAGTCCTTGCTACAGTGCCTCTTTCCCTGAGGCAGCTAAAAGAAAAGGGAGTGTCAATAGAAGTAAAATTTTACAGTTGGAATTTGAAAAGTAAACCATTCGATTCCAACACGTAAAGAGTTTGGAAGTTGTCACCCGCATCCGAAAAGCAAGTAAAAATCTGAACAAAATGAGAGTCAGTGAATTTTAGACGCACCAGAGAGCTGGGGCCGCAGGGCAGACCACCACCCTGAAATCTGGATGGCGCACGAATACAGCGAATCACAGCCAAGGTCCGCTTGCCCAGAGCAGAAGCCACTGCACCCATAAACTGATAGGAACACTTCGGTGGGGATTTTGGTAAATTACTGGAGTCTGGGTGTTGACTAGCTTGATAGTGAGAAACTCCTTAAGGTCCAGTGTTAGGGGAACCCCGAATTTTCATGAGTTTTCCCTTCAAGAACACCACCAGGTTCTCACAGTGAGAATCCAGGAAAAATTCCCTCCTGCTTGGGGACAGAGAGAGGAGAATTGTAACCATTTGAAATAGGCCCAGAGTGATCTGTTCTCCCTAACAAAGGCCAGCTCTGCAGGGGAAATTTTACCAGCACCTTTTCTGTCCTGTGAGAAGGGCAGTTAGCCAACCCTCACCCCTTTCCAGCTTTCCTATTTTATGTAAAGAAAGAAAAAAAATGCTAAGAAACACTAATCGGGGGCTCCTGGCTGGCTCAGTAAGTGAAGCGTGGGACTCTTGATCTTGGGGTCGTGAGTTCAGGTTCCATGTTGGGTGTACAGCTTACTCTAAAGATAGATAGATACAAAGAAAAAGAAAGAAAGAAGGAAATAAAGAAAGAAATAAAGAAAAAGAAAGAAAGAAAGAGGATGGTGTGCTCATGAGCATAGTCGCCTGTAGTATACAAGGATACAGGCCCAGTAAAAGACTGAGATTTAAGATTAGATAGATAGATAGATAGATAGATAGATAGATAGACAGGCCCAGTAAAAGACTGAGATTTAAGATAGATAGATAGATAGATAGATAGATAGATAGATAGATAGATAGATAAAGATAGATAGATATAAAATAAAATCCTGAGATTTAATCATTAGGTTACAGAATGCTTTCTCTTCCCTGTGCCCTTCTACCATGTCACCAGGGCCCCAGCATAATAATGGGGTTAGAACTGCAAGAACTGCAAGGCACAGGCTCTATTTAAGAAGAGTTCATAGTCAAAGACAACAGGAGAAACAAAACAAAACAAGGACCCTAGAGGATACAAGCCTTTGGTACCTACAGCTACTGCAGACATTAAACCCAGTCTCCTAGCTAGGTTAACATTAAACCTTGCATTAAAAGTCTGTTTGCCTTATTAATCATTATGTGATACCTCATGTACGGCTTTTAACAAAAGAAATTACAAGGCATGCTAAAAGGCAAGAAAAAGCACAGTGCGAGGAGACAAAGCAAACACCAGAACCACAAATTCTGGAATTATCAGATATAGAGGTTAAAGTAACTGATTAATATGTTAAGGGCTCTAATGGACTGAACAGACCACATGCAAGAACATTTGGGAACTGTAAGCAGAGAGACAGACACTCTAAGAGAAAAGTCAAAAGAAAATGCTAGGAATCAAAAACACTGGAACAGAAATAAGAATGCATTTGATGGACTCCTTAGTAGACCGGACACAGCTGAGGAAAGAATCAGCGACCTTGAACATATGTCAGTGGAAACTTCCCAAATAGAAATGCAAAGAGAAATAAGAATGAAAACAAACAGAACATAATGTCTAATGACTGTGTGGGACAATTTTAAAAGGTGTAACATGTGTATTATTTGAACACTACAAGGGGAAGAAAGAAAGCAAGAGAAATATTTGCAGTGATAATGACCAAAATTACCAAATTTTCTAATGTCCCAAAAACCAAACCATAGCACCAGGAAGCTCAGAGGACACCAAGCAGGATAAATATCAAAACATTTTTGAATACTATTCAGACTGCAGGAAACCAAAGACAAATAGAAAATCTTGGAAAAAAACACAAGGGATAAGAACCCCTTACCTATAGAGAAACAAAGATAAGTATACCAGGCTTAAGCAAGAATAGGGTGGAGTGAAATATTTATAAAGCATTGAAAGAAAAAAAAAAAACCCTAATATAGAATTCTGTGTCCAGTGAAACTGTCCTTCAAACATGAGGGAAAGAGAGAGACTTCCTCAGACAAACAAAACTTGACTTGTAAGAAATGATAAGAGAAGTTCTTCAGAGAGAAGGAAAATGATACAGGTCAGAAATTTGGATCTCCATAAAGAAAGGAAGAGCGTTAGAGAAGGAATGAGTGAAGGTCAAATAAAATCCTTATTTTTCTCTTCCTAATTGATCTCACAGACAACAGTTTGTCCAAAGCAGTAATAGCAAGAGATTGTATGGTGATGATAACTTAAAGGTAAATGAAAGGGGGAGGAAAACTCAAGAAGGCAGATCCAAAAACAAGAAATCACCTATTATTTTGTCAAGAGAATGTGCTGGACAATTTGGAAAATTTTAAATTGAACATTCGGTAGAAATGGTATATCAAGAAACTAAATTCTTCTAAGTGGTTTAATGAAGTGGCTTCATGTGGTGAACAAAAAGGAACAGAAATGAGCTATTGTGCTAAAACAGTACATTTACGAGAACTTTCCTGTTTTTTTTTTCTTTTTGACAATTTTTATTTTTAAAAACAGGAAAAGCACTTGCTGATCACTCATTTCTACATCATGGTGGTGAATATTTGAGGTGAACTACAGAGTGAACATATCAAAATAAAGCTACTGAGAAGAGTGCTTTCATGTTCACCAAATGGTCTGTTTATGCTTATTTTCCATAGTGTTATGTACATCTACTCTTTTGTTTTAAGTTTATTTATTTATTGAGAGAGAGAGAATGAGCAGGGGTTGGGGGCAGAGAGAGAGCAGGAGAGACAGAATCCTAAGCAGGCTCCGCACTGTCAGCGCATGACATGGGGCTTGATCTCACAACCATGAGATTGTGACCTGGGCCAAAATCAAAGTATGCTTAACTGACTGAGCCACCCAGGCGCCCCTGCATTTACTCTTAATATGATTTCTCAAAATTTTACTATGTTAGACTCCACTTTAAAGTGCCTTTTTTGTTTTTATGATATAATGGTCTAATTTTTTTTTAATTAATCATCTATATTACTTTATTTCTTAACCTTTTTACGGATGAGCCATTGTAATTTTTAGTCTGCCTTAGTTTATAAAGTCTGACCATAAGAGTTGATTTTTAAAAATCCCCTGATTGGGGTGCCTGGGTGGATCAGTCTGTTAAGCATCTGACTTCGGCTCATGTCAAGATCTTGTGGTCCAAGAGTTTGAGCCCCATGTCAGGCTCTGTGCTGACAGCTCAGAGCCTGGAACTTGCTTCAGATTCTGTGTCTCCCTATCTCTCTGCCCCTCCCTTGCTTACACTCTCTGTCTCAAAAATAAATAAACATTTTTTTAAAAAATTTAAAAGAAACAAAAAATAAAAATTCCCTGATCATAAAAACGTTTTCATTGGCTTTTTGAAAGTGAGTATGAAATGTGTCTATAATTTGTAATTTTGAGGTAGGATTTATCAGTGTTTTCCTTGACAGTTTGTACTTGTGATTTGCCCCTACTCTGAGGTCATAAATATAGTCTCCTATGTTTTCTGTCTCATTTCCTAATCACTTCATATACATAAATTTTTTTCTAGAATGTTTATTCTACAAATGGAAACTTTTTCATTGTGTTTTTAAATAGGCACGTAGAAGTCCAGGTTTTTGGTGACTACCATGGCAATGCTGTATACTTGTTTGAAAGAGATTGTAGTATACAGAGGAGACATCAGAAGATCATAGAGGAAGCCCCAGGGGTAAGGACCTTGTAAAGACAGCTTCTCTGTAACATAAACCTCAATCGCTCTGATTTTCACATCAGAAATCTGTGAAGTTAGTGTCTGAATAACTGCTTCCCAGTGGTAATATAATGGTAAGGCCCCAATGCAGCATTGAGGATGAGGAGGGAGTTGATATTCTTGGGCTACCATAGAGAGGGCGCACAACAGGGCAGTGATTCTTCTGGATGGTATCTAGGAAGATCTACTCTGATCCAAGTACAGACTGTGCCTGACTTATGGTGATTCAACTTAGAATTTTTTTACTTTACACTGGTGTAAAAGTGACACATACTTAGTAGACATCATACTTCAAATTTTGAATTTTCATCTTTTCCTGGGCTAGTGATACGTGGTGTGATGCTGTCTTGTGATGCTTGACAGTGGCTGCAAACCACAGCTCCCAGTTAGCCACACTGTCATGAGGGTAAAGGACTAATATACTTAAAATTATTCTTATCCGTGCTAGTTCTTACACTCAGTACTCAGTATTCAACAAATAACATGAGATACTCTACCCTTTATTATAGAGTAATTTTTACTTCAGATGATTCTGCCCAGCTGTAAGCTAATGTGAGCGTTCTGAGCATATTTAAGGTAGACTAGGTTAAGTTATGATGTTTGGTAGGTTACGTGTATTAAATGCATTTTCTTTTTTTTTTTTTTTCAACGTTTATTTATTTTTGGGACAGAGAGAGACAGAGCATGAACGGGGGAGGGGCAGAGAGAGAGGGAGACACAGAATCGGAAACAGGCTCCAGGCTCTGAGCCATCAGCCCAGAGCCTGACGCGGGGCTGGAACTCACGGACCGCGAGATCGTGACCTGGCTGAAGTCGGACGCTTAACCGACTGCACCACCCAGGCGCCCCTTAAATGCATTTTCAACTTCTGATATTTTTAACTTATGATGGGTTTATCCAACATAACCGTACTATAAATTGAGGAAGATCTGTATCTGACTTACAGTGAGCAACTGCATAATGTTTCCATGTAGATTTTAAATTATAGTTAATGGGAATGTTTGAGGAATGGATTGACCTGGTTCATTGAATGTATTTTTTATGAAGAAGATTCTTTATCTTAACTGCTATTTCAGATGTTCCTAAAATATATCAGTCCTCTAATATATGCCTTAGAGGTTTCTTGTAGAGGAGAGAGATTTGCTCCTATTTGGCAACTTTTGCCCCCTTGGAATTAATTGTTTACATTTCTTTGACCCTGCCTCTTGATTGATTTGTTACCTCTTCTTCGATTTGCATTTCTTTTGAGCCTGCTGTTGTCCAGAGGCTTCTCTCTTGCCCAAGGTTTTATACATGTTTCCTTTTCAGTAGGTACTTCTAGAAGGTCAGGATCTGAGGTTTCTGTTTAATCAGTTTGTTATTCTCACACTGTTTTCAAATTTTAATTTTTGTTGTAGAGTACATTGTACGGTTTGAGGTAAATGTCAATAATAATTTCAGTAAAGCTTTTTTTTTCAAACAATAATAGCTTAAATATATGTCTATTTTAAAATGTTAAAACCTTTGCCTACTTTTTAACCTACAGTTCTTTTTGTGAACCTGTCTTATTAACTTGGAATATCAAGGTTTACCGTTATTCTAAGATAATTGTTGGGCACGTGGCCCAGATTGCTCTGTCATCTTTAAACAAAATAGAGATCACTCAGAGTTTTCATATTGGTGCATGTAATTTGAAGCAGGAATATAGTCCTGAAAGTAATGTAGGTAAGTAAGTCATTATGCTGAATAATATCTGCAGTTCATAGAAATTACTCACAGAACCATTAAAGTCTGATATAGGGACAGTTAACTATGGTATGGGATGTATTTCTTGATGAAATGTATAACGTTAGCTATTTATCCTCATTATCGCTTCAATGTTTGATACCTAGAAACGCAATATTGGATCTTAATGGAAATTTCTAGTAGGGCAAAGTACTAATCAAAATTTAAATATTTTTTCACAGCCTGGTATTAACTCTGATGTAAGAAAAAAGCTTGGAGAAGCTGCAGTCAGAGCTGCTAAAGCTGTAAATTATGTTGGAGCAGGTATGCTAAGATTTACTTTGAATAGAGGAGAAGCAACATTTATGTTCAAAAGAAACATATAACTTTAAATCATTGGCTTTCAAGCTTTTACAAATTATATCCACATTAAGAAACACGTTTTGGGGCTCCTGGGTGGCTCAGTCGGTTAAGTGTCTGACTTCAGCTCAGGTCATGATATCACTGTTGGCGGGTTCAAGCCCCGCATCAGGCTCTGTGCTGACAGCTCAGAGCCTGGAGCCTGCTTCAGATTCTGTGTCCCCCTCTCTCACTGCCCCTCCCTCACTCTCACTCTGTCTCTCTCTATCTCTTGAAAATAAATAAATGTTAAAAAAAAGAAAAAGAAATACAGTTTATATTGAAACCCAGTATATACACATAAGTATTTATGTTTATATACATGTATATTTGAAAAAAAAATTCACTAAACAGTACTTAACCCTAATTATGTGTAATGCTATTTGATATTTTCTATCCTATTTTAAAATAAAATCACTAAAATGATTTCTTTTGCATTTTTTAAAATTAGTAAATAATTTTTTTAGAGCAGTTTTAGTTTCACGGGAAACTTGAGTGAAAAGTACAGAGAGTTCCCATACCCCCATGCCCACACTTGCACGGCCTCCCCAACTATCAACATCCCAGTGATTCATTTGTTACAATGAATAAACCTATTATGACATGTCATTATCATCTAGAATCCATAGTTTACATTAGGGTTCACTCTTGATGATGTACATTCTATGATATTGTTATACATTATACATTTGGAAAAATGTAGAATGACATGTATCCACCATCGTAGTATCATAGAGTACTTTCAATGCCTCTGGTATCCTCTGTGCTCTGCTTTTTATCCCTCCCTGTCTTTAACTCCTGACAACCTCTGATCTTTCTATTGCCTCCATAGTTCTGCCTTTTCCAGAATATATAGATGAAACCATACAGTTTATAGCCTTCTAAGATTGGCTTTTTTTCACTTAGTAATAGGCATTTAAGTTTCCTCCATATCTTTTCATGACTTGGTCATTTCTGTTTAGTGTTGAATCCTATCCCATTGTCTGGATATACCACAATTTATCCTGTCACCTACTGAAGGACATCTTGGGTGCTTCTAAGTTTGGCAGTTATAAATAAAACAGTTATAGGGGCGCCTGGGTAGCTCAGTTGGTTGAGCGTCTGACTTCGGCTCAGGTCATGATCTTGCGGTTTGTGAGTTCGAGCCCCGCGTCAGGCTCTGTGCTACCAGCTCAGAGCTTGGAGCCTGCTTTGGATTCTGTGTCTCCCTCTCTCTCTGCCCCTCCCATGCTCATGCTCTGTCTCTCCCTGTCTCGCAATAATAAATAAACATTAAAAAAAAATTAAAAAAAAAAACAGTTATAAAAATCTGTGTGCAGAGTTTTGTGTGGACAGTTTCAATTTATTTAGGTAAATACTAAAAAGTTTGGTCAGTGGATCATATGGTAAGAGTATGTTTAGTTTTGTAAGAAGCTGCCAGACTTTCTTCCAAAGTGGCTGTACCATTTTGCATTCCCACCAGCAATGTGTGAGAGTTCCTGTTGCTCCACATCTTCACTAGCATTTGGTATTGTCAGTGTTCCATTTAATAGGTGTGTAGTGGTGTCTCATTTTAATTTGTATTTCCCTAATAACATATGATGTGGAGCATCTTTTCTTTTTTTTTTTTTTTTCAACGTTTATTTTATTTTTGGGACAGAGAGAGACAGAGCATGAACGGGGGAGGGGCAGAGAGAGAGGAAGACACAGAATCGGAAACAGGCTCCAGGCTCTGAGCCATCAGCCCAGAGCCTGATGCGGGGCTCGAACTCACCGCAAGATCGTGACCTGGCTGAAGTCGGACGCCTAACCGACTGCGCCACCCAGGCGCCCCTGGAGCATCTTTTCATATGCTTACTTGCCATCTGTGTTTCTTCTTCACTGAGGTCTGTTCAGGTGTTTTGCCCATTTTTTAAATTGGACTGTTTGTTTTATTATTGAGCTTTAAGATTTCTTTGTATATTTTGGATACCAGTCCTTTATCAGAAGTATCTTTTGCAAGTATTTTCTCTCAGTTGGTGGCTTATCTTCTCATTCTTTTGACATTATCTTTTGCAGAGTGTAAGTTTTTAATTTCAATGAAGCCTGCCTTATCAATTATTTCTTTAATGAATCATGCCTTTGCTGTTGTATCTAAAAAGACATCACTATACTCAAGGTCATCTAGGTTTTCTCCTGCTGCCTTCTAAGAATTTTATGATTTTGTGTTCTAAATTTAGGTCTGTGATCCATTTTAAGTTAATTTTTGTGAAGGGTATATAAGGTCTGTGTCTAGATTCTTTTTTTTGCATGTAGCTGTACAGTTGTTCCAGCACCATTTTTGGAAAAGACTATCTTTGCTCCATTGCGTTGCCTTTGCTCTTTTGTCAAAGATCAATTGACTCTATTTATATAGGTTATTTCTAGGCTATGTGTTCTGTTTCACTGATCTATTTATTTGTTCTTTCCCTAGTACTTCATTGTTTTGAATACTGTAGCTTTATAGTAAGTCTTGAACTCAGATAGTGTCAGTCCTCCAACTTTGTTATTCTCCCTCAATATCGAATTGGCTATTCTGGTCTTTTGCCTCTCCATATAAAACACTAGAATCAATTTTTTGATATCCACAAAATAACTTGCTGGGGTTTTGACTGAGATTGTGTTGTCTCTATAGAACAAGTTGTGAGAACTGACATCTTGATGATGTTGAGTCTTCTTGTCAATGAACATGGAATATTTTTCCATTTTGTTCTTTCTTGACTTCTTTCATCAGAATTTTGTAGTTTCCTCATATAGATCTAGTACATATTTTGTTAGATTTATACCTATTTCATTTTGGGAGTGCCTGTGTAAATGATATTGTGTTTTTAATTTCAAATTCTATTTGTTCTTCATATATAGGAAAACAATTGACTTTTATATATTAACCTTGTATCTTGTAACTTTGATATGATCACTTACTAGTTTGAGGCATTTTTTGGTCAGTTCTTTGGATTTTCTACATAGATAAGCCATCTGTAATGAGACAGTTTCATTTTTTCCTTCACAATCTGTATACCCTTTATTTCCTTTTCTTGTTTTGCATTAGCTAGGACTTACAGTATGATGTTGAAAAGGAATGGTGAGAGTGGGCATCCTTGCCTTATTTCTGATCTTAGTGGGAAAGCTGGTTTCTCACCATTGAATATAATGTTAGCTGTAAGTTTTTGTAAATCTTCTTTATCAAATTGAGGAAGTTCCTCTCTATTCCTAGTTTGTCAAGAGTTTTTATTATAATTAGGTATTGGATTTCATCAAATGCTTTTCTGCATCTATTGATATAATCTTATGGTTCTTCTTTAGCTTAGTGATGTGATGGATTACCTTGATTGATTTTCAAATGTTGGACCATCCTGGGATAAATCCCACTTGGTCGTTGTACATACTTATTTTTACACATTGTTAGATTTTATTTGCTAATATTTTGTTAAGGATTACTGCGTGCACATTTATAAGAGATTTGATTTGTAGTTTTTTTGTAATCTTTCTCTGGTTTTGTTATTAAGGTAATATTGTCCTCATAAAATGAGTTAGGAAGTATTCTGTCTTCTGTCTTTTGGAAGAGATTATAGAGAATTGGTATAAATTCTATCTTCAGTGCTTGGTAGAACTCATCAGTGAGCCAATCTGGGCCTATTTTGGAGGTTTTGGAGGTTATTAATGATTATTTCAACTTCCTTAGTAGATATAGGCCTATTCAGATTGTTTCAGAGTGATTTTTTTTCCTTGTGTGACTTTTGGCAGATTGTGTCTTTGAAAGAATTGGTCTATTTCATCTGTTATCAAATTTATGGGCATAAAGTTGTTCATAATACATATTTAATATCCTATTAATTATTAATAGGATTATTAATGTATTATTATTAACAAGACCTATATTGATTTGCTTTCTTTCATTTCCAATATTAATAATTTGTCTCTTCTTTTTTTCTTAAATAATTTGGCTAGAGACTTGTATATTTTATTGATCTGGTTTTATTGGTTTTCTCTATAGATTTTCTATTTTGAATTTCATATATTTCTACTCTATTATTTCTTTTCTTCTGCTTACTTTGGAATTAATTTGCTGTTCTTTTTCTAGTTTTCTATAATGGAAGCTTAATTTTGATCTTTCTTCTTTTCAAATATATGGATTCAGTGCTATAAATTTCCCTCTAAGCACCGCTTTCAATGCAGCCCACAAATTTTAAAGTTATATTTCTATTTTTTTTTTATTTTTTTTTTAACGTTTATTCATTTTTGAGACAGAGAGAGACAGAGCATGAATGGGGGAAGGTCAGAGAGAGAGGGAGACACAGAATCTGAAACAGGCTCCAGGCTCTGAGCCGTCAGCACAGAGCCCGACGTGGGGCTCGAACTCACAGACCGTGAGATCATGACCTGAGCCGAAGTCGGCCGCCCAACCGACTGAGCCACCCAGGCGCCCCTATATTTCTATTTTTATGTAGTTTTAATATTTTTAAATTTCACTTGGGATTTCTTCTTGACCCATGTGGTACTTTGTAATATGTTATTTAATCTGCAAGTATTTGGGAATTTTTTTTCCAGCTGTCTCTCTATTACTGATTTCTAGTTCAATTGATTTTTAGTTTAATTGTGGTCTTGACAGCAAACATTGTATGATACCTGTTCTTTTAAATTTGTTAAGGTCTTTTCTATGGCCCTGAATGTGGTCTGTCTTGGTGAATGTTCCATGTGACTTTGAGAATGTGTAATTTGCTCTTGTTGGATAAAGTAGTCTATAGACATCAATTGTATCCAGTTGATTGGTGGTACTATTAAGTTCAACTATGTCCTTACTTCTCTGCCTGCTAGATTGTCCATTTCTGATAGAGGACTGTTAAAATCTCCAACTGTATCGGTAGACTCATCTGTTTGCAGTTCTCAGTTTTTTTGACACTCTGTTCTTAGGTGCATACACGTTAAGGCTGTTTCTTTTTGGAGTATTGACCCTGTGTCATTTTCCTTCTCTCTAAAGAACTTCTTTTAACTTTTCTTGCAAGGTAGATCCACTACCAATACATTCTCCCAATTTTTGTTTATTTGGAACAATCTTTATTTCTCCACAAGAAATAACTGTAACTCCACAAGATACAGAATACTAGGTTGATGATTTTTTTTCACTCAACACTTTGAATAACTCACTTCACTATTCTTGCTTGCCTGGTTTCTGAAGTCATATGTAATTCTTACCTTTTCTTCTTTATAGGTAAGGTGTACCCCCCCCCACCCCCACCTTCTTTCAGGATTCATTCATTCATTTGTTCATTCATTCATTTTTATTTTCTGTACTTTGAAAATGATATGCCTAGGTGTAGGGGGTTTTTGACATTTATCCTGCTTGGTGTTCTCTGACCTTCCAGGCATGTGATTCGGTGTCTTGACATTAATGGGAAAATTATCAGTCATTATTGCTACAAATACTGTTTCTGGTCTTTTCTTTTTTGTTTTTCTGGTATTCCCATTATGCATACGTTACACCTTTTCTAGTTGCCCACAGTTCTTGGATATTCTGTTTGGGTTTTCTTTCGTCTGTTTGTTTCTTTGTTTTTCAGTCTTTTTTGTCTTTGCTTTTAGTTTTGGAAGTTTCTGTTGCATATCCTCAAGCTCAGAAATTCTTTCCTTGGCTGTGTCCAGTCTACCGATGAGCCCATCAGAGGCATTCTTCATTTCTATTACAGTGTTTTGATTTCTAGCATTTCTTTTCAATTCTTTCTTTGAATTTCCGTGCTTCTGCTTATGTTATCCATGTGTTCTTGCATGTGTCCACTTTTTCCATTAAAGCTCTTAGTGTATTAATCAGCATGTTTTTAAGTTCTTGGTCTGATTATTCCAACATTTCTGTCATTTCTGAGTCTGGTTCTGATGCTTTTTCAATCTCCTTAAACTGTGTTTTTTTGCCTCTTAGTATGCCTTGTGATTTTTCTTGATAGCCAGACCTGATGTATCAGGTAAAAAGAACTGCATAAAAGAGGGCATTAGTCATATGGTGGTTAGGTGTGGGGAAGGGGAAGTGTTCTGTAGTCTTGTGATTAGGTCTGAGTGTTTTGGTGAACTTCATCAGTGCCTCTCAGTGGGTTTTTTGTGTACTTGTTTTGATTTATTCACTTCTGTGGGACAAGATGGCTGGAACTGTGTGTTTCCCTTCCTCCAGTTATGTTAATCAGGCTCTGATGACACTGCCATAGTTTAGGGTCTAGTAACATAATTTCTCTTACGGACGAATCTTGTCCAGGACAGAATTCCAGTGTACTTCAGATGGTTCCTTTTCCCCTTCCACTGCTGGAAGCTCAAGGGAGTTTTTCTCTAGTATTCACTGTGAGCACCTGGTAGAACTCCTGCAGGTAAAACTCACAGAAGTTTGGCGGGGCCAGGGGTCGGGGGAGACTTGGAGTTTGTAACCCTCAGAGTTGTCCACACTGAGTGTCCAGCAAATTGTCAATCCCAGTCCAGTTTTTCCTCCTCTGGTACTTGTTCCTGCAGAAGTTTTGTTTGCGGGTTTCTGCTTCAGTAAGTTGAGAATCTCTGTATTTGCCTGTCTTTCTCTGTAGGTTGAGGGGCAGTGGTTTGCCCTGTGACCTCACGTCTCTGATGGATCTGAGACACATTGTTGATTTTTCAGTTTATTTGGCTCTTTACTTTTGTCAGGTTAGAATGGTGACTTCTCAGCTTCTTCCGGGCCAGAAACTGGAAGACTTCGCTAAATCTTTGCAAGCCACTAATCAGTTATGACCCACAATTTGAAAAACAGTCTTAAATTATATGGAACTAACTTTCAGCTAAGTGAAAAAAAACTCAAACACAAAACACTACACACTATACGATTTCATTTATATGACATTCTAGAAAAGAACTATGATAGAAAACAGGCCAGTGATTGCTTGGAGCCAACATCCTGGGGAAGGGACTGACTGCAAAGGGGAACAAGGGAACATTTTGGATGATGGAAATGTTTTGCATTTTCATGGTGGTGGTAGATGTGTGACAGTATTCAAGTGCTGAAACCCAGCATACTGTCCTACACTTTAAAAAGTTAAATTTTATTATATGAAATTATGCCTTAATAAAGTTGGGGAAGATATAGCTTTAGTTGCTAAATAATCTTCCAGTGCATCACCAGCGAAAGGACTTTTTTTTTTTTTAATTTTTTTTTAATGTTAATTTATTCTTGAGGGAGAGACAGAGTGTGAACGGGGCAGAGAGAGGGTGAGACACAGAGTTCAAAGCAGGCTCCAGGCTTCAGGCTCGAGACTGTCAGCATAGAGCCCCATGTGGGGCTTGAACCCACCACCAGCTGTGAGATCATGACCTGAGCTGAAGTCAGACACTTAACTGACTGAGCCACCCAGGCGCCCCCCAGCAAAAGGAGTCTTTTTTTTTTTTTTTAATGTTTATTTATTTTTGAGAGAGAAAGAGTACTAGCAGGGAAAGGGTAGAGAGACACACACAGAATCCAAAGCAGGCTCCGGGCTCTGAGCTGTCAGCACAGAGCCCGATGTGGGGCTTGAACTCACGGGTGGCCGCTGGCGGGATCATGACCTGAGCCAAAGTCGGCCGCTTAACCAACTGAGCCACCCAGGCGCCCCAGCAAAAGGACTCTTAAAGGAAACCTCCAAAGCTTACAGTCTGGAGGAAACAATGTTATATTTTTTCTACTGGGGGAGAGTGAGGTGGGATGTTTCAGTGTGAAGTTCCAGGGGTCTTGGTGCACCGAAGCCATAACACATGGTCCAACCATGTTCTCATTACTGCGACAGTTGAGACTATTCATAGCTTGGGCTACCATTTGCTCAAAACCCCAGACATACTTTTCTATTGCTAGATTTCGTGTGGTTCCCTATTTTTGATTAAGAATCATTTGCTGCTGCAAAATGTAAGATAATTTTCTTCACGAAATGCAAAATTTTAACATTCAATAAAGGTAACAGTAAAAGTTGGTGTAATACATCACGGAAGGTTTTGATTTCTACTTATTATATGCTGTTGAAATGTGACTGTTGTGTTTTATCTTTTAGGAACTGTGGAGTTTATTATGGACTCCAAGCACAATTTCTACTTCATGGAGATGAATACAAGGCTGCAAGTGGAACACCCTGTTACTGAGATGATCACAGGAACTGACTTGGTGGAGTGGCAACTTAGGGTGGGGACGTTTTTTCTGTTAAAGATCAATCTTGAGAATATGTTACCTGCTGGCCTTCTGAAAGAAGGTGTCCTTTTGGATAGGGGTTCAATTCTTGTAGTTGTCACGAGGACAGGAAAATGGGATATTACAGATGATACTTCATTTGTTGCTGTGACATTATTGTCACTTTATGGACTCATATTTCTAACCTGTCACTTACTATCATTTCTCCTTAGGCAAGGCGCAGGTGAGCTGTTGCCCCTGAGGCTTCCTTGTGACCGCAGTATCTCAATACCAAAGCCTTGTGCTCTGCTTGAGGCCACATTATTCAGGGCCAGGCACTTGATTTTAGAGGCAGGACAGATGCTAGCCACTGTGAAATGAGCTAAGGAAGAGTTGGGAATGAAGAGCCAAAGTAACAGTCTAGACCAACAGAGTGAGCCACATGCAGTTGCTGACTTGTACACCGTTGTTGGCCTGTGGTGGGATAAGTATATCCCATTCAGAATAAGTGTTTAGAAATTTTTATAGCATTTTGCCATTGCTATGTTATTTATGTCTACTGTATGTTACCAAAATATAAGTCTATAATTGTTCCTTTGTTATAAATAGTTTGAGAAGCCCTGGCTTTAACTAGAGTTCCACAAAGCATATTCCTTCAAATGTGAATAAAAACTTAGTCTGTTTTTCTCTTATTATTGAAAACAATTGATTTCACAGCTTTTTTAATATGACAAAAAGTTTAAGAAGTGTAAATATTTTTGATCTCTGTAGAATTCTTAGTTCTTTGTATATTCTGAATCTAAATTTTTTTTTGCATGTTGTGATGTTAATGTCTTGATTATTTTCATAATTTGGTCTTTTCAGAACTTCTGTGGGCAATAATATGATGTTATTTTTTTTGGTTCCTTGGGGATGATTGGTGATTTTAATTGAACCATAAGATTCTTTTGGGCCTCTGTAGCCTCCAGGGCTAATGAAAACCAGGCACATCAGACTAGTAAGTGTTAGTAAGTAACAGAAAAATTGTGGATTTAGAAAGTTTTGGAAAGAGTGCCTATGTTTACAGAATTCAAGGAAAGGGGGAATTTTTTTTTTTTTTTTTTTTTTTTTAATGAAGCAGTAACCAAAAGAGTCCAGAATTTTGAAATCATGATGGATAAAATGTTTCCAGGGAATAAGGGAAGAGAAAGCTTTTGGATATAAGGAGAACCAATGGACTTTTATTTCTGCAACTCAAGAAATTGTAAGAGGCTCTTCAAAGAGGCTCTTCAAAAGGGAAGTAGGCTTTTCTTATCTGGGGAGGGATTCTAGAACTTAAGTATACCACTGGACCTCATTTATAATGCTCAAGGTACTTTGGAGTCTGGCTTCCAGGAAGAGGTAACACAAGGAGTCTCGCCACTTATTGAGTCAAGACTTCAAGCTCCAGGACCAGCCCCCTTGGACCAGGACCTCCCTAGAATGAGGCTACAGTGATGTGAGCATCCAGGCTGCAGATGCAGTTGGCTAGCCATGTTCAGGGGGAGCTGGAAAAGTATCCAAGGTCCAGGAGTTCCAAAGAGTCAAAGTCTAAGCCTGAGAGAACTCCCATGGCACAGATGTCCAAGTATGCAGAGGCATGGTTAGGGTCTATCTCTTCTGAGCTTAGACAGAAGCCAACTTGAGAGGAAAATAGATAGGCAAAGACAAGCCAGACTGAAATGGGGCTATATAGTCAGAAATAAGATCACATCTTGAAATATGGACACATGGTTATTCTTTTCTTTGTGTGTATGTGTATGTATGTGTGTATATACACATACACACATACGTACACATATATATATATACACACACACACATATATATACATACACCTATATATACATTATATAATGTATATATAATATATATTGTGTGTATATATATGTATACACACACACATTATTTTAGAGAGAGAGGGCATGCACACAAGCAGAGGAGAGGGGCAGAGGGAGAGAGAGAATCCCAAGAAGGCTCCATGCTCAGCACAGAGTCCAACCCAGGGCTTGATCCCACAACCCTGGGATTGTGGCCTGAGCCAAAATCAAGAGTCTGATGCCCAACTGACTGAGCCACCCACTTGCCCTCCTTGTTTATATTAAGACAAATGGAATTCTTTATTAAAATATTAAAAAGTAATTCGCTATAAAGGGTATGAATGAAATGGCAATAGCTAACACTTATGTAATGCTTACTATATGTACTTTTCTCTGAGGCATCAAGAGGTTAAGAAACTTGCCCAGAATATGAGTATGCCCAGAACAAGTATAGAGAAAGAATCTGAACCCAGGCAGTATGGCTGCAGAGTGTGGTTCAAAACACCATGCAGTAGGGGCACCTGGGTGGCTCAGTCGGTTAAGCGTCCGACTTCGGCTCAGGTCATGATCTCGCGGTTCATGAGTTCAAGCCCCGCGTCAGGCTCTGTGCTGATGGCTCAGAGCCTGGAGCCTGTTTCAGATTCTGTGTCTCCCTCTCTCTCTGACCCTCCCCCGTTCATGCTCTGTCTCTCTCTGTCTCAAAAATAAATAAAGGTTAAAAAAAAAAATTAAAAAACAACAACAACAAAAAACAAAAAACAAAACACCATGCAGTAAAGACATTCAATTTGGTCCATTTTCCTTTCATTCTTAACTGCTGTGGTTCCTGATTTACCTTATCTACAGATTTAAAGAGATGAAACCTTTGCCTCTTTTTCAAGCTTACCTGTTTAGTTCCAAGTGGTGCTAAATTACTTAGTTTTCTTCCCCTATATCTTTTGCTTTCTTGGTTTGTCCTTTTCTCATCTTGGAGGAAAACTTAAGGAGGGAGTAAAGAGAGAGAGTGACAGCATGTCTTCCAATAGCCTTTCCAAATGATACTAGTTGAAGAGAGAGAGTCATTGTATTGGTATGTAATAGTCAAAATAATACAATTGTACTAGTGATAAACAATAATGATCATCCTGTTTATAATCTGGTATCATACAATATATGTTAATATAACAAAATTGAAAAACCATTATGTTCCCCTTTCTGTCTTGCTTTATCACTCTCTTGGTGATGAAGAAGACAAAGATGGGGGTGCCTGGCTGGCTCAATTGATAGAGCATGTGACTCTTAATCTTGGGGTTGTGAGTTTGAGCCCCACAATGGGTATACTTAAATAAATACACTTTAAAAAAAAAAGATTCAAAGGTGGAAAATGCCACACTTTAGCCATAACTGTGAGTGTAGTCCTAAACACCAACTAATAATTAACTATTATAAAAAAAAAAAAAAAGATTGGTTTGGTAACTGAGCGCTAAAGTTTTAAATGGAAACTGAGACTATCTTGCCAGTAAGAAATTTTAGTTGTGATTACATTGAAGAAACACAGATTTTTATATTTATGATTTAGTTGTCAGTTCTCCTGCTTTCTCTATTTAAAAACTCTAGAAATCCATTGTAATTAATATATTATTTCCAAACTGCATCTGTTTTTAACCTCTTTTTGCTTTTGCCCAGAACTCAGGTAGGTGGATAAAATTAGTTTTTATTTGGCTTCATTATAAAGCCCAAATATACATTTTCCATAGAAAAAGGCAAGACCATCAACTTCCCAAGTCTCATAGGTGCCATAAGGTGGATTTTCACAGAAGCATATACTCTTCTTTTATCAGATTGCAGCAGGAGAGAAGATTCCTTTGAGCCAAGAAGAAATAACCCTGCAGGGCCATGCCTTTGAAGCTAGAATATATGCAGAAGATCCTGACAATAACTTCATGCCTGGAGCTGGGCCTTTAGTGCATCTCTCCACCCCTCAGGCAGACCTTTGCACCAGGATTGAAACTGGAGTGCGTCAAGGTAAAGTGAAATAAAACAAAAAGTCTCTGTCTTTTTTTAAGTGCATGATTATTTGTGGACGGCCTCTTTTCCCTGTGTCTTGGGGAAATGTTTTGTATGTTTTAGCATAAAGGATTTAGTTTATTTCTCATTAATCTTTATTTATCTTTCTGGAATAGTTATTTTTAAAGAATAACTAGTGTTTTTAAACAATACACCCTTTTTTAAAATGTAGCAGTACTTGTTCATACCTAAATAACAAACATTTTGTGTGTACTGTTTCATGTTTTTACTCTGCCTACTTCTAAAAGTGATTAAAGGTCACCGATACCAGCTATGCCCAACACCCTCCAACCTTCAAGGGACTTGATATCAAGCTGAAGGATTAATATATCAACTTGGTGTAAGCTAAACAATAAGAGAAATAAAGAAAAGTGAAAAAAAATAGTAACAGTGCAAGAGCTCTCACGGTTCGGCATATGATTAATAACAATGATCATAACAATTATTTAGCATTTACTATGTACTATGGACACTGTTCTAGGTGACTTTTTTATGCAGGCTCCTTTAACCATGAGAACTACCCTGTGAGTAGGTATTCTTAGCACCCCCATCTTCCAGATGAGGAAACTAAGGCACAGAGAAGTTAAGTGACTTGCCCAAGGTCACTCTTGGAGCCAAGATTCAGACCCAGTCTTTCTGGCTCCAGAGTCCATGCTCTGAGTTACTACTACCTTGACTTTAGTTGCCAGAGAAGTTTTGCAGATGGTGAATGATGAAAAGCAATTCTCAAGATTAGATGTTATATTAGGCTATATTAGGCCAGGAGCCAGGACACATTCGTAAGAGGAAGTCTGGAGTAGATTTTAGTAGGCAGATTAAAGAGCACACAGAAAAGTGAAGAAAGGAGAACTTAGCTAAAGATGTGTTTGAAGAATTGTAAGAAAATAATGTGGCTGGAGAAAAGTGTTCAGGATGGTGAATAGTTGGAGATGCAGGTAGAGATACAGGTTGAGAGCAAATCACACAGGGTCTTGAAAGCCAAAATGAGGAATTAGGACTTCTTGATGAGAGATTGGCAGAATTTTGAGAGCTCTGGCTAAACCACAGCAATATTTGATATTAATTTTTTTTTAACTTAACAGCAGAACATTTTAGAGAGGAAAAAGAACAGTTGCAATAGAAAAGAAAGAATCTGTGGAGCAAGCAAAACTTGCAGTGTAATGTAATAAAGGTTTTCCAAGAATAACAGAGGTGTAATTCCGAGAAGGACTCCCATATTTACATCTTAGCACTGGGAGGATAATCCATTCCAAGAAATTTACCCAACCTTTCTCAACTGCGTTCCCTGAGCCCCTTGTGGATTCATTGGGCCGTTTTCTTATTATATCATTTTACAGTAACCTTTTACTCCTTGTCTAGTTTTCCCATTACATTGTAAGTTTCTTAAGGGAGAGACTGTGTCTTCCATGTTATCTTGCTCAAGCCTGGGCCTAGAAGGTGTTCAATATGTGTTGGTGAGTGCTGGGCTGGGTAGGTGGGTGGATGATGGATAAGGGAGTGTAATCTAACCCCTTCATTTTATAGATGAAGCCCCTGGAGTTCAGAGGGGTCAAATGACCTACCCAAAATCACACAGTGGTCCTAGAACAGTATTGTTGATAACACACCACATCCTTTTGACCTGAACCATTTCTAACCAGTGAGATGTGCCTGGTTCGGATTTTTTTTTTTTTTTTTTTTTTTTTTTTTTTTTTTATTAACTGTTCCAACCAGCAGCTTGGTTGGCACAAGCTCGCTTACAACTGGGTCTTCGTGTGCATGGCCCTGAACTTACAGGGCTGCCTGGTTCAGATTCTTGTTCTCTAAGACTCTGTCATAGCAGTGATGGGTGCTATTTGTTTATCAGTTCTGCCAGGTATGGCACTTGGCCTTTTTACTGTCAATCCTCCTAAGAACCCTACAGTATAGTTGGATTGTTATCTGTATTTTTCTCATGAGGAGACTGAGGGGTGGAGGGAGGGGGATGCTAAGGGCAGAAGGGATGGTGACAGGAGAAGGTAGAGGCAGTTTGCGCTGGCTTCCAAGATGAGAAGGGAAAACAAGGTTCAGAGGAAGAGAGGATGGGGACAGCCAGCCTGTGTGATATTGGATCACTATTTTAGGTGCTCTTGGATAGCCATAATCTCCTTAGACTTGTGGTGAGTTTTTAAAGCCCTGTGAGCCTCATTTCCTCGTGAATGAAACCGTGGTAACGACTACCATGCAAGAGCTCCTGAGGATTAGGTATGAAGTGAACGTTAAAGCCGCAGCAGAGGGGCGCCTGGGTGGCGCAGTCGGTTAAGCGTCCGACTTCAGCCAGGTCACGATCTCGCGGTCCGTGAGTTCGAGCCCCGCATCAGGCTCTGGGCTGATGGCTCAGAGCCTGGAGCCTGTTTCCGATTCTGTGTCTCCCTCTCTCTCTGACCCTCCCCTGTTCATGCTGTCTCTCCCTGTCTCAAAAATAAAATAAACATTAAAAAAAAAAAATTAAAAAAAAAAAAAAGCCGCAGCAGAATGTCTTGCATGTCATATTTTATCATGTTAAGTTTGGACTTAGAGTGGCTACTGTGGTTTTCAATTTCAGGAGATGAAGTTTCAGTGCATTATGACCCCATGATTGCGAAATTGGTTGTGTGGGCAGCAGATCGCCAGGCAGCCTTAATGAAACTGAGGTACAGCCTTCGTCAGTACAACGTGAGTGACCTGGGGCCATGTTAGGGACCTTATGATCTGTGTATCTCCACCGCCAAGTATGTCTGTCACGATTGGTCAGCCTTTGTCCCTGTCAGCTTCTTTCCACCAATGCGTCAGGAACAAAATGATTTCACATTCCCATGGGTCAAAATAGAGTTTAAGGACTTCTTGATTCAGCTAGAAAAGAAAAATTGCAGGACTGAAACTATTAATGTCAGTGTTATACTTCACTGAAATCTGATATGAAATTCATATTCATCCTGTAGATAAGACTAAGTACACAAGTGTGGCCTACAGTCTGGTATTTTCTCCAAAGGAAAATAGTTATGTTCAGTTTTACCCATTTGACAGAATTTGTTGCTTTTCTGTAGCACATGAATTTCCTTGGTGCAGTAAGCCCCAGACCACACTGATGTAGCTTCATAAAAGGATTTCATATTAACCTGTGATATCCAGATTGTTATATGTCATTAATTTGATCTAACCTCTGATCTCTGTGTCTCCAACCACACTGGTCTCCTTGCCATTCCCTAGACATACCCAGCATGGAGCCATGTGTTCCTGTTCTCTCTTCCAGAATGTTCTTTCCCTACATGATCACAAAATTCCCTTCTCAGCATCCTCAGCTCCTGTTCACCTCAGAGGTCTTCCCAGGCTGCCCAATTTTTTTTAATTGAAGTATAGTTGATACACAATGTTATACTAGTTTTAAGTGTATAGCATAGTGATTCAGTTCTGTACCTTACACAGTGCTCACCATGTTAAGTGTAGTTACCATCTGTCCCCAAAGGTATTCCAATATTATTGACTGTATTGCTTATACTGTACTTTTCATCCCTGTGCCTTACTTATTTTATAGTGAGAAGTCTGTACCTCCTAATCCCATTCACCTATTTACCTTCTCCCTTCACAACCATCCCCTCTGGCAACTACCAGGTCCCTGTTTATGAGTTCGTTTCTGTTGTTAGTTTGTTTTGTGGTTTAGATTCCACAATATAAATGAAATCATATGGTATTTGTCTTTGTCTCACTTGTTTCACTTAGTATAATACCCTCTGAGTCCATCCATGTTGTTACAAATGGCAAGATTTCATTCTTTTTTTTTTTTTTTTTTTTTAAGTTTATTTATTTTGAGTGAGACAGAGAGAGCACAAGCAGGGGAGGGGCAGAGAGAGAGGGAGAAAGAGAATCCCAAGCAGGCTCTGCACTGTTAGTGCAGATTCTGACTTGGGGCTTGAGCCCATGAGGCTGCAAGATCATGATCTGAGCCAAAACCAGGAGTCAATGCTTAACCAACTTAGCCACCCAGGTGCCCCAAAGATTTCATTCTTTATTTTGGCTGGGTAGTATTCCATCATGTGTATACACCACATCTTTATCCTTCATCTGTTGATGGACACTGAGGTTACTTCCATATCTTGACTATTGTAAATAATGCTGCAATAAACATAAGGTTGCATATATCTTTTCTAATTCGTGTTTTCATTTTATATGGGCAAATACCCACTAGTGGAGTCACTGGATCATATATTTCTGTTTTTAATATGGGGGGAACTTCCATACTGTTTTGCAGTGGCTGTACCCAGCATGTCCTTCCTACCAACAGCACACAAGCGTTCCCTTTTCTCCACGTCCTCACCAACATTTGTTATATACCGTCTTTTTTTTTTTTTAATTTTTTTTTTCAACATTTATTTATTTTTGGGACAGAGAGAGAGACAGAGCATGAATGGGGGAGGGGCAGAGAGAGAGGGAGACACAGAATCGGAAACAGGCTCCAGGCTCTGAGCCATCAGCCCAGAGCCTGACGCGGGGCTCGAACTCACGGACCGCAAGATCGTGACCTGGCTGAAGTCGGACGCTTAACCGACTGCGCCACCCAGGCGCCCCTATACCGTCTTTTTGATACTAGCCTTTCTGACTTGTGTAAAATGGTATCTCATTGTGGTTTTGATTTGCATTTCCCAGATGATGAATGATGTTGAGCATCTTTCCATGTGTCAGCCATTTGTATGTCTTTGGAAAAAATAAATGTCTTTTCAGGTCCTCTGCCCACTTTTTAATTGGATTATTAGCTTTTTTGGTGTTGAGTTATAGGAGTTCTTTATATATTTTGGATACTAATCCCTTATCATGCATATCATTTGCAACTATCTTCTCCCATTCAGTAGGTTACCTTTTCATTGTGTTGATGGTTTCTTTCACTGTGCAAAGGCTTTTTAGTTTGGTATAGTCACAGTAGTTTAATTTTGCTTTTGCTTCCCTTTCCTCAGTAATCATATCCATAAATATGTTGCTAAGGCTGACATCCAAGAGATTACTGCCTATGTTTTCTTTTAGGAGTTTTGTTTTGGGTCTTACAGTTAGGTCTTTAATACATTTTGAGTTTATTTTTGTGTGTGGTGTGAGAAAGTGGTCCGGTTTCATTCTTTTACATGTAGCTATCCTGTTTTCCCAATATCAATTATTGAAAAGATGGTTTTTTGCCTCCTTTGCCATAGATTAGTTAACCATATAAGTGTGGGTTTATTTCCACTTGTTCCACTGATCTTCATTTCTGTTTTTGTTTCAGTCTACCATACTGTTTTTATTACTACAGCTTTGTGGTGTAGCTTGAAACCAGGTGATCTTATTTAAAATAGGACCCTTTGCTGTTCTCATTCCCCTTAACCAGCCTTATTTTTCTTCATATGACTTGATGTCATATTAGATATTTGTTTATAGATATTGTTATCTCTGTGAGGTTTTGTTCTTCGTCATGACCCCAGTACCTGGAGCAAGGCCTGGCACCTAAAAGGTGCTCAGTAAATGGCTATTAAATGAATATATGAATGGACCCAAGGCTCAGATAGCTGGTTTTACCCTTGACCCCATTTATTGGGTGGATCTAGGTTCAATGTATACCTTTTTATTTTTATATCAATGTGTAAAATTTGGATTTTAGTGTTGGAAGGAAGCTCCTTTGAGCTCATTTAATCCTGTCCCCTCCTCAGTATAGAAATCCTATGCTCTGTTTTCCTATTTTGTGGGAGTGTTCCGAGCAGCAAGTCTTTAGTATCTTGCAAATAAATCTTATATAAGTTTCTTAACATTTATCACTTACATAGCCTGAGGCAATTAAATGTCTCCACACTATCTAACCTACCATCATCTCCTATGTCCTCTTTATCATAAAGAATAAAATGTAGTTTACTATTTTTAAAATGTGTTGTGGGGCACCTGGGTGGCTCAGTTGGTTAAGCGTCTGACTTTGGCTCAGGTCATGATCTCACTGTGAGTTTAAGCCCCATGTCGGGCCCTGTGCTGACAGCTCAGAGCCTGGAGTCTGCTTTAGAATCCGTGTCTCCTTCTTTCTCTGCCCCTCTCCTTCTTTCTCTCTCTTTCTCTCTCTCAAAAATAAACATACATTAAAAAAATTTTTTTAAATGTATTGTAAAATGTAATTTTAAGTGTTAAGTCCAGATACATAGTGTTGGTGAAGTGAGTTTTTTGTTTTGTTTTGTTTTCCTTACGAGTTGTCCTGTCGCCATGTGGTACCTTAGTAGGTTTTTCAATTTTCTTAAGAGTTGCCCCTGATGAAATATCTTTAGTACAAAGAAAAGATTTCTATGGCAAATTTCTATGGAAAATGTTTTTTTCCCACGCACTGGGGATATGGGCTTTATTCTCTTCCTAGATTGTCGGACTGCACACCAACATTGACTTCCTTCTTAGCCTGTCTGGCCACCCAGAGTTTGAGGCTGGGAACGTACACACCGATTTCATCCCTCAACACCGCAAAGAACTGTGGCCCAGTCGGAAGGCCACAGCCAAAGAGCTTTTATGTCAGGCAGCTCTGGGTCTCATCCTCAAGGAGAAAGCTATGTCTGATGTTTTCAAAATTCAGTCACAAGGTATGGAATGTTTTTCTCTTTCCTCTGCTTGTCAGGATTTTATAAATAATCATCGGAGGTGCTTTTCTTTCTTTATGACACTTTTGTGTCCCTTTTCTTCTCTCAGTGGTTGACACTGTCCTCTGCTAAGTGGTTTTTTAGTATGTAGTAGATTCACGTATCATGGATGCATCCATAAACACTTTTTTAATCCATTAAATGTAACTTAACTAATTGCCTAATAGTGTTGAGCTGGGGCTCTTTTTTCAACCAAACGCTGGTCCTTCCTGTACCCTGTGCTGACCCCTTCCAAAGCTTTCTTAATTCGCTGCTTCTCAAGGGCCTACTTATTGTATCCTTGTACCTACCGCAACTTCCTTGGTCCTGGGGACTGAAGACAGAGCACTGGGGACTCTCATTACCTGTTAATTTATTGTTGAGTTATTTCCTCCTCTCCTTTTCCATTCTGTGATCAAATTTATGTCTAACTAGAGACCTAGGCATTTCCTCCAATCAGAGGATCTAAACATGGGAAGGAAAATGGCAGAGATTTATCCTGGTTGCCACGCGCACACATCTCTGCTTCAGCTTCCCCACTGAGTTGTTGCCCAACCTCTCCCTAACACCTCAGGAAGCTAGAAATTCATAATGAAAACTCATTAGCTTATTATTACAGATTCAGTCAGTTCTCCATTAAAATGTTCTTCCCTCTAAATTGAGCAAAATCTGGGGACACAGGGTGGCTCAGTCAGTTAAGTGTCTGACTCTTGGTTTTGGCTCAGGTCATGATCTCACAGTTCATGGGTTCAAGCCCCGCACTGGGCCCTGCACTGACAGCGTGGAGCCTGCCTGGGATTCTCTCTCTCCCTCTCTCTCTGCCCTTCCTCTACTCTCTCTGTCTTTCAAAATAAATAAACTTAAAAAATGAAATAGATTGCTAATCTGAGAGAATGCAAAACATGAAATAAGATAAGATAAGCAAAATCTGAACTCTCCCAAACTTGCTCCAAAATATATACTTTAGGCTAACTCTGAGCTTTGGAGCAAACAGGAAAAAAGAAAAATTAATCCATTTATCTCTTCATTATTTTTAGGATTATTATATTATTATAGGATTTTTTTATTAGGATCTTTAATTTCTAGATTCATTCAAGAAAGTTATATTGAGAGCTTAAAATATATAGCTACATCTTTAGGAGATGTGTGCTCTATTCTGATTTTGTCCTTTTACAATTCTAAATGAAATGCCTCCAAATATGCCCATACAGTGTTCCTAAGCCTGAATATAGCATTGTTACAATCAAGCATCCTCTTACTCTCTCCTTCCTTTTTATAATGTATACTGGCACACACATGAACTTCAGAATAAATTGCTTCAGTTCAGCTATGCCGTAGCTCCTGGATATTGTCCAACAGACACGCCTGTGGGCAGGACGAGTGACGCACAAAGAGGCTAAGTGAAAAGAAAAGTAGTGAGTGGTGGAGATTTTGGTGACCTGGAACGCATTTGCCCAAGAAGGGGAGACCACTGTGCGGCTTGTGCCCCCAGAGGAAGAGAGCTTGGGCTGCAAATACTCTGATTTTAGCCAAGCTGGAATTTTTCATATAACCTTTTCTGAGATGTAAATTAAAGTATCTAATTTAAATTTAGAGCAATGAGAAGAACAAAGAAGACACATTTGAGCTGCCAGTGTAAGACAGGTGTTTTATGTTTTCTTTTGAAAGGTATGAAGTCAGGCTTGGTGTTTGTAAATTTGTTGTTGAACTTTAATTTTTTTTCTAGATCGGTACTCCCCTTTTGCATCCAGCAGTGGAAGAAGACTGAATACCTGTTACACCAGAAACATAACTCTCAGGGATGGTAAAAAGAGTAAGTAATGTTTTATTAAAAGAGAAATGTGCTTTATAGAAATATATCACTTATCTGGAAAAAAAGGATTCAGCCCAGACATGATCGGTCAATTACATTTTTTAAGCTCCCTAGCCTAACCATTGGAAGGAGTACGAGAATTGATTGGCTCAGGTGGTACATTAGTGCTATTTTTCTTCTTTATACTTTTTCTGTATTTTGTAAATATTTGAAAAATATGTCATAAAATATACACAGCAAAATGACTGAAATGAAATATGCCACGATGTTAGTGAGGTTACCATTGGGTAGCAGGATTTAAGGGGATTTCCCTCCCTCCATCCCCACCCCCATCATCCTTCTTTGTTCTCTTTGCTTTGCACTTTTTCTTCAGCAAGAATGTACTACTTTTAAATAAGAAAAACAATATCCAAAACTACTCCAGTAGGGAGGATTACCCACCACTCAGGCATTGTTTCAGGTGGAAGAGGGTTACTAAGAAGCTATGATTTATTAAGTACCTGATCACATGTAAATTTTTATCTTCACTATAATTTAATTAAGGGGGAATCCCTATCATACCCATGTATGGCTGATGAAACAGGCAGAGAAGGTGAAGGAACTTACTCAAGGCTAGTGAGATTGACGTCCAGCCTTTCTGACCTTGACTCCTGTGCTATTTTTACTTTTCCAGTGGAAAATTGATTTTTGACTGCAAACTAATTTGAGTAGGTTGAGGGTGGGACTGATTTATTGTAATTGAAGCCAGGAGAGGCTAACATCTAAAATTTTAAATTTTTTATAAATTTGTGGCTGGAACAACGTACCAGAGGGATCAGAGTCCCATGATAGCAGCATCCCTTCTGCTGCTGAACAGTTTGCATAGGAAACAGGATGGGTGCAGAGTCAGAGCCGAGAGAGCTAGTTAACCTTGAATGTGAGGTGTCATTAAACTGTGAATGCTCCATTATAAAAATGTACCCAGCAGGTAGAACAGAATCTTCTTGCCGCTCATGGGAACCCCCTCCCCCTACCCCCAGACAAAGTAGAATCTTCTTTATCTCAACTCTGTGTAGACAAGCACTCAGTTTTTAGCAAATCCCCTTTTCATCTAAATTGATTGGATTAAAGCTCGAGATATTTTTTCATCATGAACCTAGATGGGCATTACTTTCCATGCACTGAGTACATGGAAAGAAAGTTTGCAAACATTCACTAGTATCTACTAATACCCATTTTATACTAGTGTGTTTATTCATTTCATCCTAAAAACCAAACCCTACAAAATCTGGGATTATCTTACTCTAGACTCCTATATACTGAATGTAAGTATCAGCAGCAGTAAAGTTTCATTGACCTCTTCAACCTAAATTAAACAGAAAATCATACTGGTGATTAAAATTTAGATGAGCCAACTGTGTTATTTGGTATGGATCTTCACTGAAGCACTTAGCAGTGTTTTGAACTATGCTGCATTTCTTGGAAATTTTTAAATTTTTTAATTAAAAAATAAATACATTATTGAAAACCAACATGATCGCTGTTCACTACATCCTTTTGGTAGTTATTTTTCAACAATAACCCAGGCCTGAATGTAATAATTTTCAGAAATGTTCTGGTGGGTCTCTAATAAATGCTAATTAACAGTAACCATGATTGAATAAGCGAGTACACCAAACAGGAAGTCTTAAGAAGCCAGAAGCATTTATGAATCTAAAGTAGAACTAATTCTTAATGATCTCAGTGAGAATTATCAAGTATTTTAAATATTTAAGGCTTGAAAAATATTCTTACTTGGTTCCTAGTGGCCATGCTTCACAGAATCCTGCCCTACCCTCAGTAGTAACAATAATAGCTAAGATTTATTGAGCTTTTGGTATATGCCAGCTATTAAGTTCTTTCCATGGATTATTTAATTTCCATTTTCAGAACAAGCCAATGAAATTGGTGTTGTTATTAGTGTCAACTTTATAAATGGGGAACCAAAGTTTAGAGAGATTAATAATTTTCTTAAAATCATAACAAAAGTAATTGGTGGAACAGAATTCAAACCCATACTCCAGGGTGTATGCACTTATCTAACACTGCACCATGCTAAACTTCCATACCTTATGAAATACATTAAGAGGATGGGATACCTGATTGGTTCAGTGAGTAGAGCATATGACTTGATCTTGGGGTCATGAGTTCAAGCCTCATGTTGGGCATAGAGCTGACTTGAAATTAATTAATTTAAAAAATAGGTAAGAGGATGTTTAAGGTTCTCTTGTGGAGGTCTAGAGATAACTAAGGGAGGGAGGAATAAGTTCAGTTGCCCTATAATATATGAAAGAATTTATTCTCTTTGATGAATTGTAAATGGGATTGTTTTCTTTATTTACCTTTGTGCTATTTTATTATTAGTGAATAGAAATGCAGTAGGGGGTGCCTGGGTGGCTCAGTCGGTTAAGCCACCGACTGATTTTGGCTCAAGTCATGATCTCACAGTTCATGAGTTTGAGCCCCTCATTGAGCTCCGTGCTGACAGCAGGGAGCCTGATTGGGATTCTCTCTCTGCCCCTCCCCTGCTTATGTGCTCACTCTCTCTCTCATTCTCTCTCTCTCAAAGTAAATAAATAAAACTTAAAAAAAATTCAGACTTTTGTGTGTTGATTTTGTATCTTGCAACTTCTGAATTTACTTATTATATCTAATAGTTTTTTGGGAGAGTTTTTAGGATTTTCAATATATGGTATCATATTTGCAAGTAATGACAGTTTTACTTCTTCCTTATCAGTTGAATACCTTTTATTTATTTTTTTGTCTGATTGCTGTGGCTAGGACTTCCAGTACTGTATTGAATAAAAGTGGTGAGAGTGGACATCCTTGTCTTATTCCTGACCTTAGGGGGAAAACTTTCAGCTTTTTATCATTGAGTATGATATTAGCTGTGGGGTTATCGATAGATGAATAGATAAAGAAGATGTGGTATATATACACAATGAAATATTACTCAGCCATAAGAATGAAAATCTTGTGATTTGTGATAACATAGATGGACCTAAATGGTATTATACTAAGTGAAATAAGCCAGAGAAAGACAAATACCATGTGATTTCACTTATATGTGGAATCTAAAAAACAAAGCAAGTGAATAAACAAAAAACAAAGAGAGAAACAGACTCATAAATATAGAGAACAAACTAGTGGTTGCCAAAAGAGGTGGGGGCGAATGAAATGGTGGGGGGGATTAAGAGGTACAAACTTCCAGTTATAAAACAAGTAAGTCATAGGAATGAAAAGTACATGATAGGGAATATAGTGAATAATACTGTGATACACTTATCATGGTAAGCATTTCATAATGGATATCATTGCTGAATCACTATGTTGTATATGCAAAACTAATTTAATATTATGTCAATTATAATTCAGATTTTTTAAAATGTTCTTAAAAAGACTTTTCCTGGCAATGCGTTTACTGTGATTCTGTTGGCATTCATGTCAGCTAAATACTTTTCATATTTCATAAATCAAAAAAAAACCTAATCTGTTGTAAGTGGATGTATTTTCTCTTAAGAAGGATTGAAAGATATTGACAAGACATAGGGTGGAGAAGTTTCATTTACTTATATGTTCATTACAAAGTTTCTGAAAAAATAGATGTTCTGAGTAATGTGAAGAAGAGAAAAAAAAGATGTGTTTGTCCCTACTTTTCTTCCTTAAGGAATTTACCATCTGGCAAAGGAGAAGTGAGTATGTTGGGAAGATAGATGGTGCAGTGGTTCATAATGCAGACCCTTGAGTTAGACTGTTATGGGTTTGAATTCTGGCTCCTCTGTTGTCTGTGACCCTTGGGCAAGTGACACACTGTCTCTAAGCATCAAGTGTCCTCACCCATAAATGGGAATGGTAGTGGTAATTACTTCCTTGGGTTGTTGTGGATATTAAATGAGACAACACATCAAAAGCTCATTGTACGTCACATAGCAAGTGGTCAATAAACATTAGTTGCCGTCATTATCATCATCATCATTAAACTTGCTACTATTGAAAGACAAAGTGGATATGTATGTCACATGTTAATTAAAAAAAGGTTGGAAAAATAAATTTTTTTAAAGTTGGTTGCAGAACAGTATGTATAAGAATATGTTATTTTTATAAAAGAAAAATACTAGTTTGTGCATTTTAAAAAACTTGAAGGGGCTCACATGTTAAAGAGTTCAATAGTAGTTATATCTGGGCAATAGAGAGGACTTTCACATTTTGCTTGATGTACTTCAGTATTTGACTTTTGTGAGGTTTTATTTTTGCAATTTTTAAAAAAACGGATAAAGAGAAAAATTATTCCATCATAAAACTGGATGAGGAAAGAATCATAATGGTGTTCTATATGCAGAAGTCTGTCTAAATGTTCAGAGAAGAGCAACTTCATTCCACATAGACTTTTCCCAAAGACCACAAATGAGCATGATGTCAACAAGGGGCAAGGTTTCAGTTGGGGTGGCTGGGACTGGTGACACAGTGAAGGGGGAGTGGAGCAAAGAGGCACAGTGGGGCGAAGGCTAGAGGCACATATGGAGATTATTAATTGGCCCATGTTCCCATTTCGTTGTAATATAGGGCTGTGTAGAAGAAGGGTGGGAAATACGACTGAGTTCAGGGCCTTCAGTACCAGGCCAAGTATTTTGAATATAGAGGAGACATGCTAGGCAGCATCAGCTGGAAGGGCTGAGACAGGAAGCAAAAAGTTCCAAGAAGACCTCAGAGTCAGCCAGGCCTTTGGCCATCAGCCTGAATCAGGGTTGAGTGATGGGAACGAAAGGACGAAATGAACAGGACAGGTAGGGAAGGACGTGGCAGCTTTGTAGTGGCTATTGCATGTGGAAAGCAAAGGAGAAGGTAAGGATGACAGGTTTTAAATCTGGATGACCAGGAGAATACTAGTGCCAGTCATGGAGCTCCCAGGGCGGGAGGGAATGCAGGCAGAGTGGGGACACGATTTGATTTATTGGACCTACCATGTTCACTTTAAGGTGCCGATAGAGCATCCAGCTGGGAATGACTAATCAGAGTTCTGGAGAAGGAAGGTCAGGGCTGGAAATAGATGTGAGCTGGCAGCATCAAAATGGTGGTTGAAGTATCAGGAGTCGATGAAGTGACTTTGGTCTGCATTCTCTGCACCACAGAGCTTTTGATTTCCATCTCCTAGCAAAGTCCGTAACCAATTCTGTGTCCACAAAATAATATGAAATATATTGTATATTATATTTATGTGGTCGGTTACAGTTTACAAAGCAGTTTCACATTTATTTAATCACTATTACATTCTCATACCCATTTAACAGGTCAGAATGGGGCAGAAAATCAGGACTCACATTTTAAAGGACAGTCAAGATCACAGAGGTGATCACACCACAGATGGCAAATTTGGGTCTTAAATGAGAATTTCTGTCTCCCAATTCATTGCAGTTCCTATTTTAACACTTTAACTTTCCTTGTTTAGAGAAAAATATCTAAAATATCCTACAACATTAAAAGAGCTAAAACTCCGTCTTTAAAAAATTTTTAATCTAGTATAGTTAACATACAGTGTTTTATTAGTTTCAGGTGTACAATATAGTGATCCAGCAATTCCATATATTACCCAGTGCTCATCAAGATAAGTACACTCTTAATCTCCTTCATCTATTTCACCCATCCCCCCATCCACCTCCCCTCTGGTAACCATCAGTTCTCTATAGTTAAGAGTCTGCTAAAAGTCCATTTTTTAAGAAACAAAAGTTTGAAATTCACTTTTATTGGAACTTACCTATAGATTTTTAAAAATCTTGTCAGGGAGTTAAAAGATGTTGGTATCCCTAAAGGCTGGTTATCTTTAGGTTGAAAGAGATTTTTAGAATCCCCATCTATGATTGTCTTCTAATTTTTCTTCAATTTTCCCCCCTTTTTCATAAAGATGTAGCCGTAGCTGTCACATATAACCTCGATGGGTCATATAGCATGCAGGTAAGCCTTACTGGTTTTCTTTGTACAGTTTAGAGCTAATTCTGATCTCTCTCATACAGAGGAGGGTCTTTTTTCACACTCTGGTTTCTCCCAAGCCATTGGACTATAGTTAGGAGAATGTCATGTGTTTTTTATTTCAGACCAATTTGGGGAAATTACCTCCTCTACACTTTCTGATTGTTTCCTCAGTTTGGCTGTGGTTCCCCTAAGTATGAAAACCTGTTTTAAAAAACTAGCATTGAATTAGACAGCTAACGAATTCCTGAAGTATGTGCATGTATTCACATCTAAAGCAGCCATTCACAAACTTTTTGGTCTCAAAATCCATGGATACCCTTACAAATTACTGAGACTCCTCAAAGAGCTTTTGTTTGTGTTAATTACATGTATTAATACTTACCATTTAGAAAATTTAACTGAGCATATTTTTCTTACTGTTATTTTTAATATATATTTTACAAAAGTATACATAATGTAAAATATACCATTTTAAACGTTTTTGAGTGTAAATACCATCACATTGTTGTACAACCACCACCACCTTCCATCTCTTTTTTCTTCTTGCAAAACTGAAACTCTGTACCCATTTAAACAGTAACACTCCATGTGCCCCCGTCCCCCCCACCCCCCCCCCCCCCCCTCAGCCCCTGGCAAACACCAGTGGGCTCTCTGTGTCTATGAATTCGGCTACTTTAAGTACTTCATATAAATGAAATCACTCAACATTTGTCCTTTTGTGATTGGATATTTCACTTAGCATAATGTCTTTAAGGTTCTTCTATGCCATAGTTTATGTCCAAGTTTCCTTCCTTTTTAAAGTGGAATGATACTTCATTGCCTCTGTATATTGCACTTCGTTTATTCGTTCGTCTCTTGATGGAGACTTGGTTGCTTCCACCTTTTGCCTATTATGAATAATGCTTCTATGTACATGGGGGACAAATATCTCTTTGAGACCCTGTTTTCAATCCTTTGGGACATACACCCACAAACAGAATTGCTGGTTTGTATGTTCATGTTCTATTTTTAATTATATGAGGAACTACCGTACTGTTTTCTGTAGGGGCTGCACCATTTTACATTCCTACCAACAGTATTGGGAAGGTTTCCTTTTCTCCACATCCTCATCAACATTTACTTTCTGGGTTTTTGTTTTGTTTTGTTTTGTTTTTTCTTTTTTTTAACAGCCATCCTAATGGGTGTGAAATGTTATCTCACTGTGGTTTTGATTTGCATTTCCATAATGAATAATGATGTTGAGCATCTTTTCATATGCTAATTGTCCATATCATCTTTGGAGAAATGTCTATTCATGTCTTTTGCCTTTTTACAATCAGGTTGGTTTTTTGTTGTTGTTGAGTTGTAGGATAAACTGAGAAAATTTAAAACCTAAGATTACACAAGCACACGTTCATTAGCTATCAGAGTAACACTATCACATGTCCTGCAGTCTCTAGAAAATCCCACTGTTTATTCATGAGAGAATGAGAATTTTTAAAAAAGGCAAATACCATTAGTATTATTATGAAGTAGTTTGATATTGTGGACCCCAAGAAGGGTCTTGGGGACCCCAAGAGATCCACAGGTCATAATTTGAGAATCTCTAGTCAAAATGTTTATGATAGCCCTCAATGAAAAGAATCCATTACACTGACAAAATGAAATGCTGGAAGGGTTAAAAAAACAATGTGAGAACTCAAACAAATTCCTATATATTAAAGTACAAAATCAGAGACTAGAATAAATCATTTGTAATATGAGCCAAGCGACGTTAAGTCCAACAAAATTGATTGATCGAGGATACTTTGGGTCTGCCAATACTATGAGATGCCATTTTCTTTCTTTCTTTTTAAAGCTTATTTATTTTTGAGAGAGAGAGAAACAGAGTGTGAGTGGGCAAGGGGTAGAGAGAGAAGGAGACACAGAATCCAAAGCAGGCTCCAGACTCTGCACTGTCAACACAGAGCCCGATGCAGGGCTCAAACTCATGAACTGCGAGATCATGACCTGAGCTGAAGTCGGATGCTTAACCGACTGAGCCACCCAGGCGCCCCTGAGACACCAATTTCTTAAACTGAGATTCAGAAAAACTAGGGGGTCAACGTATTTTAGTATATGAGAGTTGTAACTGATACTCGTACCTCTGGTTTGGGGAATGCTTCATATCCCTTGGTAAAGTTAACTCCAGATTGAACTACTACATTTCACAAATTTAGAATGTGCTTGTGTAAATCTTTAAACAAAACAGTTCCCCATCTAACCTTTATGTCCTGAGAATTTCACAAACATTCACATGGCTGTTTTAGTAGGTTACAGAGCACAGTAAAATGTCATATTTAACTTAGGATAGATGAGAAGCAGCATATAAATACTGCACTGTAACCTATTTCACCTTAGCCTACATCGTATATTTGAAAAGAATAGCCACAGGACTTTCACAGTAATCTCATGGGAATTGAAATGAAAAATAGAGAAGATTTAAATGGATTTCCTGTGTGTGAAGGAATTTTTTTTTCTTGGGTGTGTATGTGAGAAAACATTTTTTAAAACAGAAAGGTTTCATGTCCTTTTGTCAGCTTCCTTGAAAGATCAAGTGTGAAGTCTGTTTATTGGCACTCTCTCCTCAAGGGCAAAAATTGTGGCTGTCTCCAGCTAGTTAATCTTCTTAACTCATAACTCAAACCCATAAATTTTATCTACATCTTGGGGAGATAAAAGATACACCATCTAATTAGGTGGTTCTGGCCTTTTCCTTTACTGACATTGGCATAGTGAAACCAAATTTGACCTCAGGTACTCAGAAATGAATACTTAACATGTAATATAGTCAACCGAATTTTGATAATTTTACTTAATTTGATTTGTATTTCTATTTCACATTTTTATTGTTATCCTTAAATGAACATTTATCTGTAGCATTATGGCACTATAGATATGTTCTCTGGGTTTTTTTTTTTTTTTTCTTTTAATTACCTTAACTGCTATTTCTATGTAGAGTACTTTGTTTATGAATCTTAGGGGCAAAGTTCCTACAGGGCTTTTTTAAAAAAATATTTCACCTGTTACCTTTTGAAACTGTTAATAGTAAAGAATTGATTCTGGTTTTATTAATTCTGTAGGGTTATTTATTTTTTAAGAATCTTATTTTTCTGTTTTTTGTTGTTATTGTTTTTTCAGATTCAAGATAAAACTTTCCAAGTCCTTGGTGATCTTTGTAATGAGGGAGACTGCACTTACGTGAAATGTTCTGTTAATGGAGTTGCTAGTAAAACTAAGCTAATTATCCTGGAAAACACTATTTACCTATTTTCCATGGTAATGTCCCTTTTTTCTAATAACACTGTTGAGGTTTGTTTGGGAGAAAATTGCTTGACCGGAGGCATCTCACTAAAAGATTAGAAAGACCTTGCTTCCTTCCGTCACTGCCATGACCTTTCCTCTGTGTTTCCTTCTCCACTCTGTTTCTTTGCCACATTTCTGCCTTCCCTAGTTCTTTTGTCCACACATGTTCTCCCTGATAGACACATACCATTTTCTGCCTTTAATTCTGAAACATGCCCTTACATCCTTATTGTCAGAGAGTATCTCACTGCCCATTGGGCAATCTTCTCTCTGAGATTTGATGCCTGAATACTTTGCCCATCCTCCTGGCACTTGGAATTCTGGGGATTTGGGAGGAGGTAACCCCTGAGAGCGAGTCTATGAACTGGATGTTTCTTGTGGGGATGGGGGCAGTCAGAAGGGGTAGTGTCTTGGCAGTCAAAGGATGGTTGATGATCGAGACAGACTTGGCATATCTTTGGTCAGGAGCTTATTTCCTGACTCATTGCTCTCACGGGCCTGCTGCCTGATGAGCCCATAGTTTCTGCACGGGCAGAAAAGAAAATGCATTATCAAATACACTGTGTCCTCTTCAGAGTCTTCTCACATTTGAAAAACACCTTACAGATCATAGTCCTTTATATTCCAGTAATTAAACTACTGTATACAGAATCAAGGATGATTTCACTTTACTAGGCATTCCTTTCCATAGTTATTGCCGGAACAATACGGTGGTGGAGGCAGTTTGGTGGAGTGGTGATGAGCGGGAGTTCTGGAATGTGAAGCTGCTTTGGTTCAAATCTTGGCTCTACCTCTGAGCAGCTGTGTGACCTATGGCAAGTTAAACTCCCTGACTTCAGTTCCCCCATCTATTAACAGGAATAATAACAGTACCTCCCTACCTCATAAACTTGTTTTGATGACTATATATACACACACACACACACACACACACACACACACACACACGTATAAAACTGTTAAGAACAGTTTCTGGCTTAGTCTAAACACTTGATAGTGGAGATGCTACTCAAAATGGCTATCAGTGGCTATTTTTTAGCAACAGTTATGTACATTAATTCCTTTAATCCTGTTGTGAGGCATGATGCCAATACTCCTTTATAATGGGAAACCAAGACTGAGAGGAGTTTAGTAATTGCTTAAGGTCACAAAGCTAGATTAGAACCCTGGTATTAAAGATTTAACAAATAGCTTGGAAACAGTCATTACCTCAGGGTACAGTGATTTGAAACAGTGATTCAAAACTACAGCGATTTGAACTTGATTTCAGTTCCAGTTTGTTTTCTGTTTACAGACGGGAAGTACTCAGATTGACATTCCAGTCCCCAAATACTTGTCTTCAATGAGCTCAGATGGAACTCAGGAAGGTGCCATAGCTCCTATGACGGGTACCATTGAAAAGGTAATCATGTGAATGTATACAGAATGATGTTCAGTAAGGCCCAGTAAATATCTCCATTGAACTTAGTCATATATATTATTTTTCTCTCTCCAATCTCTCTCATTGGGAAGTATCCTCTTGAAGAAAACAAGAGACTGGGACACCCGGCTGGCTTAGTTGGTAGAGCATGTGACTCTTGATCTTGGGTTTGTAAGTTCAAGCCCTGTGTTGGGTATAGAGATTACTTAAAAATAAAATCTTTAGGGGTACCTGGGTGGCTCAGTCTCTTAAGCCTCTGACTCTTGATTTGGGCTCAGGTCATGATCTCATGGTTCATGGGATCAAGCCTGGCATCAGGGTCTGCACTGATAGCATTCAGCCTGCCCAGGATTCTCTCTCTCTCTCTCTCTCTCTCTCCCTCTTTCTCTCTCTTTATCTCTCTCTCTCTCTCCTCCCCCCCACCTCAAAATAAATAAATAAACATTTTTTAAAAATAAAATAAAATCTCAGGGCTCCTGGGTGGTTCAGTTGGTTAAGCATCTGACTCTTGATTTCACTTCAGGTCATGTCATGAGATCGAGCCCCTGCATCAGGCTCCATGCTGAGTGTGGCCCTCTTCCTCTGCACCTCTCCTGTTTGCTCACTCTATAAAAGCAGGCAGGCAGGCAGGCAGGAAGGAAGGAAAGTCTTAAAACAAGAGACTATGTGATAGATTGATTTTCTATGTTCAGTCTTCAATGAAAATACCCGTTTACCTAATTTATGATACTGTTATTTTTGAAAGTGGAAATTTCCATCAAAGTATAAATAATCTAAATTTGTCTTTTTATGATTAAAATGGAGCATTCACCAAGCACTACCCAAAAGGGCTATTTTTTAATGTCAAATTTAACACAAACAATTTATCATTAAATAACATTTTTTTTCCAATGTACATAACTACATGTGTGTTAAAATAAAATTTGAAAGGCTGGTACTGATGAAGAACAACGAGGTTTGGTGTTGAATGCTGTATATATTCAGAATTAAGATCCATGCTGAAGTAACTTCAAATGGTGGTAGATTAGTAGTGTCTTTTTTATATATACACTTGAATATAGTAGAGTTCCTTTAAATGCATCCAAGTCATAAAAATTCAACTCTATATTGTTGGTACCTAAAAAGAAGAAGGAGGAAATAACTATTTAAGTAGTGAAAGTGATTGCACCCCCTGTTCCCCTCTGCACATGTTTGTCCCAGAGGGAGTATGAGCTCAAAGACTTTGATCTGCCTTTAACTCACTCAATCTCACTTTCCATGTACATTCCAAAATGTAGGCATCTCTGAACATCTATAGGGGAAAAATGCACATTTTCCCTATAGCCGCCCCCTAGACCATTGATTTCATCAAACACTGTTATAGCATCACCCAGCATTGGGTGATTTGGGGGCTTTCAGAGGTGTTTCTCATTTTTCACAATTTTGGCTCTACACATTGACTGTGGAACCTAATTCCACTGTGTGATGTTTCTAAAAACTCCTTGATAACCATGTTAACTAAGAAGACAGTGAGACCATATGGGATATATGAGTTCACTTATACATGAAAAATGGAAAATAAAGGTTTGTTTTTTTTTCCCCCCAAGGTTGCCAATAATTTAATTCTTTCACATGAAGACCGTCTATACATTTACCACACAGGGCACTCAAAACTTGGAGCACTATCCTAGACTACCTATAAAATCTAGAAAACCAGGCATGCCCCACTACCCTGCCCATGACATTTAAGTGCATTGGTTCTTCCCCTGTTGGTGGTATGTCTTGTCTGTACATTTATGAAAACACAAAAGGACCTTGAAATATATAAAGCATATATATCTGATTCAGGGAAAACTAGATGGTTTGGGGTTGGGGAGAAGGAGCTAAGCAGTGCTCCCCACTGACAAGAGGGCCAGCAGTGCAAGATTGATCTGTAGGTCTCTGATTTGCACCTGTACACCTGTCTTTGACAGATAAGACAACCAGACAGACCCATACTTCTACTGTGTACATTTATATACCACCTCTGTGGACCACGAGGGACCTCTGTGTTTAAAAAAATTTTTTTATTGTTTATTTATTTTTGAGAGACAGAGACAGAGCATGAGCAGGGGAGGGGCAGAGAGCGAGGGAGTCACAGAATCCGAAGCAGGCTCCAGACTCCGAGCTGTCAGCACAGAGCCCAATGTGGCACTCAAGCTCACGAACCGCGAGATCATGACCTGAGCCCAAGTCGGACGCTTAACTGACTGAGCCACCCAGGCACCCCGGAACCTCTGTGTTTTTAAATATTAACCTGTCACTCTTAATCTCTAGGTATTTGTGAAAGTCGGAGACAAAGTAAAAGCTGGAGATTCTCTAATGGTTATGATTGCCATGAAAATGGAGGTAATGAAATCATAAGTTCACTTTCCAATTAAACTTAGGGAACTATCAGATCTAATTGTTCTTTTGCCTTATTTTGCAAGCTAATACCCATTTTAAATATTAAGAGCCTTGGATTGATGGAACATTAACTGCAGGAAACAAAACTAAAACCATCCTCCCCTTAAATATATTTTCATTTTAATTTGGTGAAACTGCACCTGTCAGTTGTGATGCTAAAATCAAAGAAATTGTCAATTCCTTAAATTCAGGCAGTTAGCCAGTTGACTGTTAACCGTTGGTATTTTCTAAGGCCAAACTTAGGATGCCAAGCATCAGTATCAAAGTGAAAACCTCAATCAAACTAGATTAACTATTTTAGGTCTTTAGAAATTGTAGGCCAGTAGTTCTCAGCCGGACCACATGTTACCGTCATCTGAGGGGGAGAGCTTTGAAAAACTACTTCCCCAGACTGGTTGAATTGGGATCTCCTGGAGTGGGGCCCAAGGATCGTCAGTTTTTAACAGCTTCCCGGGTGAGACTCTACTGTGAAACTTGTTGAGAATTACCAGCTAGACTAGAGCTTCCCGATTAGCGACCTTGCAGGTGTTACAGGTACGTCAAAGTAGTGACTCCTCACAACTGCAAAGCACACCATAAAAATGTTATTTCCTTCGGGTGCCATGCTTGAGAAACCTCAAAACAATTGGCTTTATTTTTCACTTTCGTCTCTGTTGCCTTACTGTGTGCTCAGTCCTCATTAGTATTACAGCCACGGTCGTGTCTTGTGTCCCTGCAGCTTACCATAAAGGCCCCAAAGGACGGCACAATCAAGAAAGTGTTCTACAAAGAAGGTTCTCAGGCCAACAGACATGCTCCTTTAATCGAGTTTGAGGAAGAGGAATCGGACAAAAGAGAAGCAGAATAAATGCCATCAAAGAAATGTCCAATTAAGCAGTATCTTAAATATAGTATCTGTACACCAAAAAGAGAAAGTGCCTTCCTGCTTTTCTCGGAGTCTAATAAACATCAGTTTTACTAAATGATTGTACAATTAGGCTAATATTTGAGAATCATGTACTTGGGTCACAAACACAATAAATTATTTATTTCATACTAATAAATTGAATTATATTTTTTTATTGAAAGCTAATATAGTTTGTTTCTGCCTCAAATTGTATACACTGTAGTGTCTTTTAGGAAGGCGGGCAGCAACTTGATCAAAAGAGAATGATTGGAAGAGAAAAGGTTGTTTAATTATTTCCCATTTACAATCATGATGAAAATGGACGTGTTTCAGAGACGGATGCAAATCTGAAAATATGATTGAGTTGAAAGTAATTTTTCTGGGGCACCTGACTGGCTCGTTTGGAGGAGTGCGCAACTCTTGATCTCCTGGTTGTGAGTTCAAGCCCCATACTGGGCGTAGAGGTTGCTTACATAAATAAAACCTAAGGGGTGTCTGGGTGGTGCAGTCAGTTAAGCGTCTGACTCTTGATCTCGGCTCGGGTCATAATCTTGTGGTTTGTAGGTTCTGTGCTGATGGCATGGAGCCTGCTTAGGATTCTGTCTCTCCTCTCTACCCCTCCCCCATTTGTGCATGCACTCTCCCTCTCTCTCTCTCAAAATAAATAAACTTTAAAAAACCTAAAAATAAATAAATAGGGGCGCCTGGGTGGCTCAGTCAGTTAAGTCCGACTTCAGCTCAGGTCACGATCTCGCGGTCCGTGAGTTCGAGCCCCGCGTCAGGCTCTGGGCTGATGGCTCAGAGCCTGGAGCCTGCTTGGGATTCTGTGTCTCCCTCTCTCTCTGCCCCTCCCCCGTTCATGCTCTGTCTCTCTCTGTCTCAAAAATAAATATACGTTAAAAAAAAAAAAAGTTAAATAAATAAATAAATAAAACCTAAAAAACAGTTATGTGGGAAAACATCAAACCCAAAACTGATCTATCTCCTGGCTGCCAAGAAAGCAATTCCATTGTCAAGAGAATGGTGAGGAAGTCCCAAATACTAAAATTGGAAATGTGGAGTTCTCAAGTCTGATTACACATCCTAGTTAGAACGTCTATTTTTCCAACAAGGCAGGATGAAACTCAGTATCCTAAGATGTGGGTGGGGGTGAAGACCGATGTCAAGTGACTGGTGCAGAATATAGGTATTTTAGGGGTTGGGGTGAGAGAGCTCTGTGGGCAGGTGTAATCAAGGCAGACCGCACAGAGGAAGGAGAACCCAGAGCAAGAGTGGGGAGGGGGAACTTGTAGACTAGAAATGAAGAAGCAAGGCTTCACTATTGAACATGAGTAAGGTGTGTTCTATATTCAAGAACAGATCTGCCCAACAGGAGTGGGAGGTCCTTGGGAGGCTATATGAGAAAACCTGTGACATTTAGGTTGGGGCCAGACTAACTGGCATGGAGGAGTAGGTTTGGATTTTATCTTGCAAGGGACAGTTATATTGAATTATTTTTTAGCAAGGAAAATTTGGGAGAAAATTTGGCTAGTAGAGCCCCTTTGAGAAACTTCGACATTATTTCACAAGGTTGAACATCTGCATACCCTATGACCTGACTTCTAGAAATGCACAAATGCACTTGTGCACCAAGAATGTTCATGGCCACATTACCCATAACACTGGAAGCAATCCCAGTTGGTTGGCAGGAGAAGGGCTAAGTAACCCTGGTATGCCACACAGTGGAATACTATGTAGCAACAAAATAAACAGGGTAAGAATATCCACAGGGATGAATCTTGGAATCATAAAGTTAAAGATAGGGTATTTAAAGTATTAGGTATTGGGCCAGGGGTTGAGATGGGTGAGGCATATAGAGGTGGATGCCAGCGACCGCTAGTGTTCTTGTAGGGCTTATGGTTGGTTGGTTATATTTATCAAACAATTATGCTTCATATCTAACATGTTACATAGGAACTTTTTATAATTCAAATAGTATTTTTAAAAATTTCATCTGGCAGCAATATGCCAGTGGATGGAGGAAGAGAAGAATAGAGCCTGGAACACCCATTGGGAAGAAGTTCCTGCAGGTATTTTAGCATGGGGTAAAAAAGGAGAAGGCCATCTCAACCAGCGCTTTTTGAAAATGATATTTTTCACAGCAGAGGCTACAAAACTAAAACAAACAAAACTCTAAAAGCGGGAAAAGCAAAGGCGCTCTGGTAGAAATTTGGGGTTGCTATTTGCCCCCTTTCATCTCTTCCAGTGGAATAAGATCAAGCTCTCGGTTTCCTTGTTACCTCGCTGTGTTGGTCAGAGGTAATAATGTTCATGGAAGGAATTTAAAGCCAGTTGTACCCACATACTGGTGGAATTCACCGCCTCCTGCGGTGCTGTGTGGACAGAGTTCCTTTGCACCTGACTGCCTCTGTTCCTCCTAAAGACAGCGTGTACCACCATACACACCAGGGCATCTGGAAACCAAGATGGTAAGAAACGTTTTTTTTGTTTTTTTTTTTTTTGCCCTTGCCCTAATTAATGGGAAACAGGATCCAGCTGTGTAGAACGCACCATAATTCATAGCATGATACACCTGTGCACTAGGTGCCACGGGGGCCAGGTGAGTGGCGTCATAAATTCTACTTTGGGTTGGGAAGCTGAGGGAGAGGCAGTGACATTTGAACGGGGCTTTGGAGTACAGCCACTTGCCAGCAGAGAAAGAAGGTAAGATAAGGCCATTGCAGGGAGAGGGACTAGCAAGGGCTAATAATAACAGTAAGGCATGGAATTGCGTTCAGCGTTCAGGGCACAGAGCGATCCGGCTTGGGCTGGAGCACCGGGGTGCGGCAGGCAGGGGCTGGGGAAGTGGCTGCCCAGCAGGGAAAGGACTTTATTCTGGAGGCAGCTGGAGCCCTGGAGATTTTTAAACAGGCATGTTTTTCAAAGCTGTTTCTGTCCACAGTCTGAAGTACAGATTGGTGAGAGGAGAGAGACTAGAGACAGGGAGTCCAAAACAGGCACCAGATACAGATGCCTGAGCTGGACAGGCCAGGTGGAGAAGACAGAGCTTGGTACACATCTCCAGGACTTAAGAGTAGCTTTTCTTTTGGATAACCTCCATTTGTAAGCATGGGTCAAAACCAGAGGTGTATGACTGGAAGACAGCAGTTGGCTACTTTATCTCCGACAGTAGCATTCTGGATGCGTTGTGTTCGGGTCTAGGACAAGGAAGAAAACAACAAAAGTTAAGAGCCCTGATGGCTGCTTTTTAATTGCTGGCGAGGCCACGTAGCATTGTAGTCTAGACAGCCTTGGAAGTTAAAATTCTTGCATTCAGACCCTCCTCTCGCGGCGGCTCACTGTAGTGTCTCTGGCAAAGTCATTTACACTCCCTGAGCTTCATCTGTCAAGGTGGGTGGCAGTGCTACCTCACCGGGTTGTTTTGGAGATTAAATGAGAAAATGTAGAGGTGGCCTTCAGCACTGTGCCTAGAACATCATTTACACGCAACTGATAGTTAGTATTAATTTTTAACTGCTGTTACTGCTCCAGAGCAATTAAGGAACTGCTCTAAATCCAGCTCAGCTGGTTATCCTTGTCAGCAAAATTCCCGGGTCCTGGGGTGGTGAAAACCTCTACCTGGACACGCATCACTCCGTCCCCTCTCTTCACTGCCCCCCCCCCCCCCCCCCCGGGGGGGGCGGGGGCCACGCCGGCCTCCTCAGATGGCACCATAGTCTGCCTGTGGTTGACAGGTGTTGGGCGGTGGCGCGGGGGTGGGGGGGCGGGGGCCTACGTTGTGTGGTTTCAGCCTCTGTGTGAGTGGGTGTTACCACTTCCGTAGGGCGGCCGAGTAGGGGGGTCTCTTCCTTGGCTGAACTCACTGTTTTTCCTCCACGACTGGCTTCTCTTCTCACCCTTGCACGCTTGCCGTTCTTAACCTTCAAATAGTTCTCTTAGGAATATTAGAAGTTGAAATGTACATCTATGTTCTGTGTACACGTGACACTTGCGGTTAAAATATTTACAGTGTTGATAGTAATACCTTGCACTTCTGTTGCACCTTTCATCAGGGGATCTCCAAAAGCACTCCTAGATTTTCACACCAAGCTTCAAGACACCCAGAAAGAGGAAAATGTGATTTAAACTGTGTGGTGAGAGGGAAGGAGATGGATGTCCCCAAATGCTGTCCTCCAAGCCCAGAGCAGGGAGCCTTGGGTCATTAGTGCCTTCCTGCTAATGACACACTGCTCCCTGAGGGCTGGCCCCAGGGAGCTGCAGCCTTAGGGTAGCGGTTCTACTCCACCAGACTCTATAGGGCATCCCAGGAGGCTCGGCCATGCTCCACAGCTCTCAAAGTCGCAGGCTTTGCCTATCCGACTAGGAACAGTCTTGCCTATCCGCCCCCACCCCCCATGAAGAACCCTAGGTTCCTTCTGGACCGGGGAGTGCCTGGATCATTAGCAGATCCTAGCTGATATCAATGATTACCCTGTCGCCCTGACATTTGTCTCCCATGTGCTGGATGATGGGAATCAGAATGCCCTGTGCCTCTAACTGGCTCAGACTCCTACAGCGAGTTGCAAGTGCATTGTGAACATTCTCCCCTTAAACCTCCCAAGTCACAGCCTTGGTGTAACTCCCTCCCTCCTAAGACGGCTAACATCATTCTTTGTACATACCACCCCTCATTAGCTTTGTGCTGAACCCTTCGTTTAGATTAGAAATAATTCTCCAAATCCACCACCTCCTCACCAAAAACAAAAACAAAAACACTAACAACAGCAACAAAAGATAACTTGGGACTTCTCTCTCTTCTCGGTTATTGTTACTCCTTTATCATTACTACCTATGTCATCAGGCATTGTGGTTTTTCCCCCATTACTGAAAGCAGGTGTCATGCTAATCACAATTCAGACCGGCATCCCACCTAACTCTGTTCTCCTATTGACCATCTGGCCCCACTTAGAGCTTCCATTTTTGATGTGTCATTGTAAGTAGTCTACCCCATCCACAATGAGTAACACTTGCCCTCAACCTTCCTTACTCCTCTGTAGCCAGACCCACCACACACCCTAACCCTGGAGTCATTCCACATTAATACAATACATCAAACAATTATTGAAGATCTATATGCAAGACGGGTCATAGGTCTTTAGTTCCTTGGCCATGTAAGTG